GTTTAAATTGATATTATGAATGGATCGAAGTTAGACCATGATTAAAAACCTAGAAGCACTGGACGGCTGTTTCGTACTAGTACGGGGCTCTTCACCAGTGCACATCCACGATCTCGTATGCGCGATTCGAACCTAGGACCTTCTGTCTCGCACGCGAACACATAATCTGTAGACCAGTGGTCCGATATCCAACGGTATTAATGTTGAACTTGAATCTACACACCATTGTCTTCAATCAGTAACTGGTACATAACAGACATGTTGATACGACTCATATGGAATGTTAACTTGAATCTGTGTACATGTTAAATGAAATTGTTACGTGATCCATGATCCGAATGAATATGGGTCAGATAAGGTGAGCGAGAAATAACAGTGCAATTATAATTCGATTAAATGTTTAATGGAAGGACATATTGTGTAAAAAATGATTAGCAAGACATAATAAGGTGGGATGAATGAGAAGTGAATGAATCATGTATGGGGGAGAATAACAATGATTGACGAAACGAAGATTTGTGAGTAAATATAACAGAGACAATGACATTTGACTATGAAAGGTCGTGAGTATAATAGTCAAATTAGGTCATTCAATAGCTGAGATTACTATTGATTAATTGGCCTTGAGTTTGGCCAGTGGAGGAGGAGGAGTGATTGAAGATATTTGTTTTATACACAGAGTCAAGGTTTCTTCATCCATATGGTTCCTACCTATTTTATCCGTTTGAAGGACTTAAAGTTTGACAAGGTTTGGCAAAATGTTGGTGACTTGATAAATAATTGGAAAGGAATGGTTTATACTGCGATTATGACTAGTCTGTACTAAGTGAACCAATATAGAGATGTTCATTTCCCTCATCAAACCTTTGTTTAGCCACGCTGGACGGTGTTTACGAGCACGAAAATGTAAAGTTCTAAAACTTTGACCAATATGACTTGTTCCACACGAGCAGTTGAACTGAGAATTACAAAATGAGGTAGTCATTCTAGGTAATTCATCATAGAGACTGAGTGTCATCATTGTGCGCATAGAAATCACTAATCGTACTTCTCCGGTGTTGAAACATTTTTGTATTGACATGCGTAATCTCTGAGTTAATATTTTACTAGTGTTATCCCCTCTGAATTGTAGGCGAATGAACAGGGGTTTCTTCTTCACCGTTTGCATTTCGCCTAGTTTCACCCTCGTGATCATGTATTCAATTATAAACATTCTAGGGTGACCGTTCTCCCTAACAGTGTTAAGCAAGGTGTTTAGCACATCTTCAACTATATCCACAAAACATATAGTGCGTATTCGGTAACTAAGAGTTTTGAGAGTCTACTTGAAGAAAACAGAAAGAAATTGTGACTCGGGAAAAACATTCACAATATCATGGACAAATAATGGAAATTTGCAAGTGAATGTAAACGTATGGTTCTCATATTTTATCAAGAGATTCTATAATTTAGCAACTAAATACAGTCGGTTATGCCCACCTGTATTCTTGTTCACAACACATGTAAATAACACAGAACATTCAATGAGTCTATTATTGCTCAGTGATTAAACATCAACACTTTCACAATTGAATAACGAGTTCGATTTATGAATATTCTATAGGGGAACGTCTCCTCTCGAAGTTTTCATTTATTAAAACTGTGTGATTGTATTTAGTTAGTTTTCCACAACTAACCATTCTCACATCCCTTTATCACCTCGCACCGCCAGGGCAAACGATTCGAGTACGCGGAACGCTATTCCTGGTCTCCTGAACCACTTTTAGATTTTATGTTGGAGCTTTCAACGTTCGAACAATCTACCAATAGGACAACAGGCTTCCTTAGATCGGACTTTAGAATCTCGCGCCATCCATGTGTGCTGCGTCTCCGAAACACGTAACAGGATCCGAGTAGTGTCATTCATCTGACCTCATCAAATCAAAATAAAGAACCTACTCGATTCACGCTGTCGTGTATCTGGAAGCCCTCATGCTACTCCGTAGTTCGCTGGGGGGTATAGCATTGAGTCGCAGGGCAGAACTAGCTCTCTTAGACTGGATCCCAGTAGACAGTCGTTTGTACGCTGTCCGACTTAAACGGAACAGTAAGGACTCGGAAAGATAGGGGACACTGGTCGTTGCCCCTCCGTCGTCTCTGCCTATTCTCCCCAGACTACAGCTCAGTGATGCAAAAGATGAGTTTTACAGAGAGTTTCCCTGACCTTAAACGAAAGCTGAGCGCTCTGATGGTAGTAATAGTGGCTGGTGACTTTAATGCTCAAGTCGTAAAACTAAGGGAAAGGGAAGATAACGGGGTGGATCTTGGTGTCGTGTCACAAAGAAGATAATGGCAACCGTCTGTTGCAGCTATGTAACCATCATCATGATCCAAACATCATCATCATCACCATCCAAAGCATCATCATCCAAAGCATCATCATCATCATCATCATCCAAACCATCATCATCCAAAGCATCATCATCATGTACAGCATCATCATCATCATCATGCAAAGCATCATCACTATCCAAAGCATATTCATGATGGTAATAATTGATTCATATTATTCTATTATAGTGTTTATTACAATTATACTTGATTACATCAACTCCATTTCAATGGTATAAACAATATACAATACATAGTTGTATATATATATTTATAGCTACTTATACTTTGGTAAGTATTCTATATACATTATCTATATCATTTTATTATTGGATTCAATTAGACATCATTTCATATCTATTGGATGGTATATTTCATTGATTCAAATATAATAATCGAGAATCCGGAATTGAATAAATTACCATTATATTATATGCATTTTATTGTAAGTTGATTGTAAACTATCATTCTTAAATTTATGATCATTTCTAAATTATTCATTGTTTCAGTGGTCTAGAGTTTAAGCGTTCATGCGTGAAATTGTTGAGGAGTCCTATAATAGGACGAAACGGCTGCTCAGTGCTTCCAGGTTTTCAATGGTAGACTAACATCAAACGGTTCATGATTTTAATCAAAAAAACCATTCATAATTCATTAATCATTTAGTAGTCACCATAGTTATGTGTATTAAATGTTTCATATCGCTGATCAGCTTTTATCGATCAAGTTATCTATGGTATGAAGTGATTGAACATTGTTGAGATGTAAAGTGATAGTCTAGGGTAGTTGACAGGAAACCATGTATAATCCAGGTTTCGTGGTATTTGGCACATGTCTGACATTCGTGCCTGAAATATTGAGAAAACTAATGCTTCCTAAAGGATTTAATCGACCAACAGTCAATACATCTAAGTCCCTAACTGTAATTCAGATAGTTTAATGGTAATATCTATGAACGTGAAGCTGGGTGATATGGGATCGAATCTGATAGCGAGTATAACCCTCTCAGGATTACATGCATAGCTAATCGACAAGTGATCAATAGTACACAACCTGAATAGTACTGTGTTTCTTGTTGACTACAAATGATTCAACTTGTTAGATGAAAACTATGAATACAATCACTCGATTTACTAATGAGTACTGCTTCCAAATATATGTAGTGTTTAAGTTTATTTATTTAAATTAATAAACATTGGTACAAGGAGGCACCAAATAAATATGCTCCACATAAATCATTCGATTTGTGTGAGGGCTGAGATACTGCCCAGGTGCCCAAACAGAAGCAGGTGGTTTATTTAGAGGTTAACACCCAGAACATTTGACCCAAAGGTCTAGTCCACAAGGCAGTGCGGCAACGTCAGGAGATGCAGTCCTATGGTAGCCGGTGACCGACGATTAGTTCATATGCCATTTGCTTCCTTAGGATCATGGAGCCCATGTACACCATTGGTTTAGAATCAGGATTCTCCAACTCCCCTAGGTGGACCCGCCGTATCCACCAACCTGGTTAAAGCACCGGAGATGCACTTTTCGTCTTCCCAATTTCGTAAGCAACACCCCGCCACGAGAAAGCATTGAGTAGGACCTCCCTGGCAGTGGTTATATGCACGTGACACTTGAGAGCATTTCGAGGAGGAGAGCTAGCTGTCCCCACTCTCACCCGTACCATGGCATTTGCGGGCTAGTATTTAAGTATGCACATATGAAAGAGGTTAGAGACGATTACAATTCGTTGATCAGTGATTACTAACCATTGATACTCTAGTAAAGCACTTTGTTCTAATCAAATTGACTCAATTAATTTACATAACTAACATCGATTTCAATAATTCATCATCCCACAAACTATCCTTAGATGTTTGATTGTTACAGATAAAGTGTAAAAAGCCCAGAAATCAATGTTTCATGTTGGTTGACATTTGTCAGCAAGGAATATCTGCAGTATTGAGGAAACTAGAGTTTATTGCAGTATTCGAAATGGTATAAGTTGATATCACAGATTAGGATGTGATTGTTGAATTATCCAGGACGCAACTAACCTCTTATCAGACTGAGCCTTTTAAAATAATCGGTCACTGAATGACAATTAATCAAGTATGTCTAGTCTTTTAGTTATTGCTTGAATTCTATAGACCAAGTTAGAAGATCATCATCTAACTGAGTAACTTGTCACATCCATCATGAACTGATGTTCTATTGATCGGCGTTTTATTACTTACTTACTTACGCCTGTTACTCGTCGAGAAGGAGCATAGGCCACTTATCAGAATTCTCCATCCAACCCTGTCCTGTGCAATCCTTTCCAGCTCATTCCAGTTCCTATTCATCCTTTTCATATCTGCTTCTATTTCCCGACGTAATGTGTTCTTTGGCCTTCTTCTTTTCCTCTTCCCTACAAGATTCCAAGTTAGGGCTTGCCTCGTGATGCAATTTGATGATTTGCATAATGTATGTCCTATCCGTTTCTATAGTCTTTTCCTAATTTCCTCTTCAGCTGAAGGCTGGTTTGTACTCTGCCACAGAAGGCTGTTGCTGGTGGTGTCAGGCCAATGGATATTGAGCGGCGTTTTATAGATCAATATAAAATCGATGTCACCATATGATAATACGTTAAGTAAAGATATTAACTATATACAACAATAATACGATACGATAGAGACAATGGATGATATGGTCACGTAATACACATATACCCACATTTGCACAATATTCAACCTACAATTGTGAATTCGATTATAGAGATAGAACAATTAATTCACACAAAGTGTAGATAATACACACTTTGTGAAACTTAGAATGGAAATCATCAGCAATGGTATTTCAAGATTTCACTTTGATATAGATTATGAAGAAGATAAATCTAAAATCTTTCAATTCAATTAATCAATAAGAAAAAAAAACCTCTGTTCAAACAAATAACTTTGACAATCAGGTTCATTTCAGTTAGTCAGTCAGCTACAACGTAGAACCAGGCATATATGTTCATTAGTTCAAGTTGCTATATCTCATTAGGACAACAAGATGAACACCAGATTCATAGAAGTAGTTAATTCAATGATGGTGTAATATATAAAAGAAAGAATGCATATAAGGATATGGTACAGGAAGAAAGAAACTTCATTTAACTTTATGTCTATCAGAGTCAAAGTAGTTCAATATGAAATCGTACTACCATCGTTTAACTTGATAATGAGCACTGAATAGATTATTTATAGTAATAAATAATAATATATTTGCAATATCTCAACTGCATTCTTGATATAAGTATGGGATTGTGAAGGTTAGTAAGTTTTTGATTAAGATCATAAATAGGTTGATGTTAGGTCATCATTGAAAACCTAGAAGCACTGGATGGCTATGTGTTTATTTGTGACTAACTTCATGAAGGAATTATCGGAGTTCTAATGAGAAGCCGTAATTAAGGGAGCTAATCTATGTCAGGTAGAAGCAGGTATCTATCTCAGTACAATGGAAGATGATCACGCAATTTCTTGCATTGGTTAAGGTTAGACATTAACATAATTGGATACTCGGTGATCTAGAGGTTAGACTTTCTCGAGCGCAACCGAAACGGCCGTCTTGTGCTTCCAGGTTTTCCATGGTGATCTAGCTTCAATTAACTCATGAATTGAACTATTAAATTACTATAGTATTCATTGTTGATATTTCTTAACGTTAATGATTAATTCATATTTCCAATTACATTTATATATTTTACCAGAATTCCATGGGCGTAATCGTGATTATTACTGATGCATTACTATGGAAACCAAAACGAATTCCCTTTTTAGTTTCATACATTCCTTGTTGTATGTTTATTAGTATATACATTGCATAGTAAGTTCATTTTTTATTATTTATGATGTGGTCACGTGATACACATATACCCACATTTGCGCAATCGGGTCTATTGTGAGAAAGTAACTGACTGATGACAATGGTAGACGGTGGCTCAATTTGATGGCTTAGTTGAAGTTAGACATTAACACCGTTGAATGCCAACCAGCTCAGTAGTCTATAGGTTAAGGATTAGCTCACGAGACTAAAAGTCCACCGTTCAACTCCGACGTAAGAGGTCGAGGATGTTCACTGCTAAGGAGTCCTATACTGAGATGAAACAGCCGTACAAGACTTCCAGGTTTTGAATGGTAGTCTAACATCGATCAGTTCATGATCTCAATTAAAAAGTTTTTTTTTGTTTTTCGATTCTATAATTTATTTTGGATGTGCTAAATACATTCTACTTGACAAATATTATAATATCTCATTCTGTCACAAATGTAAACCAGATGTATTAGATGAACATAGTAAGAGAGAGAGAGAGAGAGAGTTAATTATTCATTCTATTAAACCCATCTTTCAAATCGGTCAGTTAGTCAGCTACAACGTAGGACCAGGTACATATATGCAACAGTCCAAGTTGCCATACCCCAATAGCACAGCAAGATCAACACCGGATTCATAGGAGTAGTTAAGTCAATCGTGGTAATGTATAAAAGAAAGATTGCATATAAGCATATAGTACAGGAAGGAAGATTTAGTACGTAGAAAGAAAGATATAAAACAATTTTAATCTCATAGTTTAGAGGAAAACAGAGAGTGTATACACCTAAGTTATTGTGATCGATTCTAAGCTATGTCACACACAGTCTCCAACCATTGGTTAAGAAAGTCACGCGGATCCCAACCAAGTACTCTGCATCTACCAACATGGCTCAGACTAGAAGTTAGTGACTTCAAGCACTGATGCCATGTTTTGGTTTGGCCGCCTCTAACTTTCTTCCAACCATCTCCAACACCGGTTAGCATTGCACGTCGTGGTAATCAGTGTTCAAGCATACGTAATACATGGCCCATCCATCTCAGTCAACGAAGATTCACAACTTCATCAACTGATTTACCATCATTCCCTAATACCGTGCGTCTAACCTCACTATTACTTACCCGATAATATCAGTAGATGAGAGCAATAGTTCTAAGACATCTGTGTTCAAATATTAGTTGCTAACTAGTATCTTTAACTCTTAATGGCCATGTTTTGTAGTCGTAAAGTAGAACAGAACGAACTGCTGCGCAGTATACTCATCCATTAATTGATAGACGGATATCTCATCTTCATCATAAAAGACATAAGTTGGCAAAAGCCAAACAAACTTTTCGAATCAATGCTAAGATTTCGTTAAACACACTAATTCATTAGAGCTAATCAAACTTTCAAGATCAGTAAAGTTATCATTCAAATATACTTGATTCATCTTTATTCTTCTTCTTCTTCTTTTTTTTCTTTCTTTTTTCTTCTCTATTTTCTCTATATTTTTTTTTTAGCTTAGAGATAACAAATTCATTAAATGATTATATAGAATTACCAAATTCTGATATACTATCAATTCTATATCGTTTTCTATACTATTTATTACTATGGTTAATAATCACCATATTCAATGTATTCAGTTATGGATTAATTCGTTTACTTCATTTAAAGAAAAAAAACCAACAAATGAACTATTAACAACTTCATCATAGTTTACTATGAAAAACAAAAAAAAGAAAAAAGAGAAAAGAAAAAAGAAAGAAAAAAAGAAAAGAAGAAGAAGAGATCGTACATTAAGTTGCATGATGATGATTTCTCTTAAGTTAATTATAGAATTAATCAATATTTATTATTGTTTTTATTTAATTATTTGAACACATAAACTTTGGTACAATAGGGTTATAGTTACGTTGGCCAGATACTATTAACAACAACTTACTGTAGGAGAGAACAAACCAGATTAAAGAGGAGGAAGAAGCGCTGGAATTGGTTAGGACACACATTGAGGAAAGCACTGAACTACGTCACAAGACACGCCCTCACATAGAATCCTCAACACCAAAGGAAAAGAGGAACACCAAAGAACACATTACGTCGAGAAATGGAGATAGACATGAGAAAAATGAACTAGAATTGGATGGAATTAGAAAAGAAGGCCCATGACAGAGTGGGTTGGAGAATGCTGATCGGCGGCCTATGCTCCTCCACTGGGAGTAAGTAAGTAAGTAAGGGGTTATAGTTCATAGTTATATAATATACTCTTGTAGGCCAGGGTAATTTTACATTGATTTTCGATGGAACCAGACATCACCCAGACTTTTACATGACAACCCGAACAGTACAACTCAATCCTGTTTCACAGGAGAACGCTTAATCTCTAGACCTCTAAGTCGGTATCCATTGGTGTTATTGTCTAATTTCAATCGATCCTTGATTCTACGCAACCCTTCATCCATTGCCTGAGGTGGGTAAATGTCTCATATCGGATACGGATTGGACTCAACTGGTTACACCTTGAACCTTGTCACTAGTGAGCATAAGAATATTATCAGAATGGGGATTGGTGGAAATTGTAGTATTTTAAAAGGTGAATTCACGAGTCAATCTAAGCTGGACTGCCATTGAAAATCTGGAACCACTGATTGGCCGTTTCGTCTTAATATAGGACTCCACACAACATGGAAGGTCTAAGAGTGAAATTTAACCACTGATACACTTTAAATTGAAAAGTCACATTTAAACCTTCTAATTGCTGTAACTTTTTTCAAGTTTCGATGATGTAGAATGCATTTATCTCGTCCATTTCATCTTCGATCTCAGTCAGATATAGTGTAGGGCCAGTGAAATGTCACTGAGCCCTAGCCAAATCATCCGGCAGTTGGATCACTGAATGTCGAACAGATCATCGCTCCCTGCCAAGGTCAAGTACAACCAACGCGCATTAGTTAATCGTATGCCATGGACTGGCCCATGCGGCAGTGGTCTTACTTTCGCTTGTATCTACTTTAACTACTATATTTCTGTAATAACGTCCTTTGTGTTGTACAGTCTTCAAAGCATCTATAGTAACTTGATACGTCAATGGGGGTAGTCCACGTAAGGTGCTGACCACGAGGTGTGACTTCGACGTTAGTTGGTTCGTCACACCATTCACGTCTTACTCGAGTAGGCCTCCAATCATTTCGACATAGATCATCTACGTTGGTGATCCACAATAGCATTATAGATCTGCGAAGAGTATCTTACTCTTCAAAACATACGTTCTGTGCAATATCTTCAACAAAACATATGAAAACCTGCTTTTCTGTCCTTCCAATATACATACCTTGACATTGACATGCAAACTGATATAAACAGTTAGAGATGACATTTAATATGGTAAAGATTATACACGTATCTACATGACTGATAATAATAATTATACATTTTATTTAACTATTTATTTCTCAATATCATACCTTTCAAGCTACTATCTTATTTGAGGTAAGGATACACTAATAGAGTGTCCATTAGATTTCTTTTCATTTATTTCTATATATATTCCTATAAACTATTACAACAGACTTATATTGAGGAGAACGCCTACTGATATTCCATCTTCATATGGATATAAGTTCAATACAGCTGATCATTCTAATCCATTATTAATAACAGTCTAACTGTTCACTCTAACCGATAGAACTAATGAAGACAAATTAAAAGTCACTTAGGCTTAATCGAATTCAGCTAACCCGATTATAAAACAGAAAACGGTGATATAGTGATGAAACAACAGTAATCCCATTGAATTCACTTGATGTTGTTTTACTTGAATCTTCTCATTGTTATTTAGGACTGCAATTGATCAGTCTATTATCGGTATATGTGTATACTATTTGGATTGCCTCGATATAACCTTAATTCACAAACAATCGAAACAAAGATGGTTAGTTACAAGCAGTGGAATCCAGGACGCGCGCCAGACGAATGTACATGCGTCTCAGAGATGATGTTCACTCCGGGATTCGAACCAAATACCGTCCGCCCCCAACGCTATCACGTTATCCACTTAGCTGCTGAGTCCTGATGGCTACTTGCTTGTGCAATGAGGTGAAGTTTACATTCAATTGCTGCTATTGAGGACTGCAACTGATCAGTCTTTTAAAGCAAACGGTACTGGGTTCGAGTCCCATACACATGTATGTCCATCTGACGAGTCCTAAGTAGGAAGAAACGCTCGTCATGGATTCCACTGCTAGCCACTATCCATCTTTGCTCGTAAAGCTTGTGACAATATTGAGACAATCCGTACAGGATCCATATATGACAACAATCGCAGTCCTAAACAATAATCGGAAGATACAAGCCAAAGGAGAAGAGGAAGACCAAAGAATACATTATGCCGAGAAATGGAGATATACATGAGGAAAATGAACAAAAATAGGATAGAACTGGAAAGGAAGACCCAGAACGGAGTGGGTCGGAGAATGCTGGTCGGCGGCCTATGCTCCACTAGGAGTAACAGGCGTAAGTAAGTAAGTGACAATTAAACAACACCAAGTGAATTCATTCTATATTAAGTTTTATTTCTTACGTTTATTACTTTACAAGAACGATTTTTCACGTATTAGTATTAGTTCAAGGTAAACATGTGTAGGTTTATTACAAAATTATGAAATGCTGAAGTATTATCCATTAGAAACTGGGATTTTTCTTCTTCTTCTTCTTCTTCTTCTTATTGTGGTACTATGATAACTCTGTTATAGTACGTCGCCATAATGCAGCCATATATATCCATATAGATAGAACTGGTCCTGGATAAGCTTTCACATAGACATTTAATGCAAATTGAACATTTATTGAATCTGATTGTAATAATCGTAATGAAGTTAATGATGGTTTTGAACTAAATACTGAATCCGTTACACTATGTAATGTAGTTTTTGAAAAATCCATCACGGAACTTCTTTGTTGTATTGACTGACTTCGATCCATAATATTAGATGTTGTTATGAATTCATTACCAATTAATTCATGAATTCCTTTTGATTTTACTCTGGCAATAATTTCATCAGGTTCCATATATGTGAAATTCATTGGGAATCCATAAATCTGTATGTGTTTATAATATGATAAGAAGGAATGTGTATTATTTATACTCTGTATAAACTTTTAGTAGGTTATTTAAGTAATAATATACGTTATGTTTGATTAAATGATAGAAAAGGCATGTAAATCGTATTTATCGGTCACAGATTCATCTGCTTCGTTACGAGTGAAACTTTAAGTATGAAGGTCATCTTTGTTACATTCGTGATAATAGTCTGGTTGTAAAAGATCAGATCTACAACGCGTCAGTAAGGGCAATTTCGCTCTATGTTTGAGGAATCTTACCTTTCCGAGTTGAGGATGTTAGACGACTCTCTGTGTCTAATCATCGTTGTCTCCGAAGGATTGTTAACATCCAGTGGCAACATCATGTTTGTAATGTAGAGGTTCGGTATCGTGTATTCGAGCACAGCAACAATAATTCAATTGATGTCACTATTTTGAAACGTCGATTTCGGTGGTTTGGATATGATCTACAAATGTCGTCCTAGAGAATTCCATGTCATGCATTATTTGCTGACACTGGGACTGGTTGAAAAAAGTGGAGAGGTGGTCAGTGTATGACATATTATCGCGGTATGAAAGAAAGCTGTACAGGACTGGCTTCTAATGATGCTTCATGACTTCTTAATTGGGGTCCTAGAGATAAAGCATCGCAGTGGCTTGTGAAGTTATCAGATATGGTTTAGAATAGAAGTTAGTGACGATCTTGTTGTAACTTTTTCTTATACGCACTTTACATTCTCTATCACTTCACAGCCTCATTGTTATTATGTGGCCCATATGTATCTGATGCCCCTTTGTACACATATTTTTATGTTCTTTCTTTCTATTATAACACTAACAATCATTGTAAATTAGATCCGATGTTTATCAGACTTACATAATATTTATTAGAAATTCGATCAAGTAATTGATTTAATCCGTCATAGTATGCACCATTATTTTTCTCTAAACTGAAACAGTAAACATATATAGATACTTCCGTGAACTTCTTTTATATATATAAAATTTGTATAAACAGTACATCATTTAAATACATATATCACATAGGGGTTTTATGGAGATTGTAGTTATTTAATGATTGAATTCATGAGTCAACCAAAGCTAGAGCATTATAGAAAACCTGGAAGCACTGGATGGCTATTTCATCCAATTGTGGAACTCCTCAACAGTGGGCATTGCTCACTAGAAACTGTTTCCAAGAGTTATTTACTGGAGTTCTAGTGAGAAGCCGTGATCAATGGAGTTCACAACTGGGTCGTTTTTTGTGATGGTAACTCACTGATGACAATGGTGGACGATGGCTAAATTTCATGAACTGGTTGAAGTTAGACATTAACACCGTTGGATGCCAATTGGCTCAGTGATCTAAAGGTTAAGTGTTCGCACGTGAAGTGGGATCGTAAATGCGCACTGTTGAGGAATCCAACAATAGGACGGAATGGCCGTCCAGTGCTTCCAAGTTTTTGAATGAGGGTCTAACATCAACCGGTTCATGATGTCAATCAAAAACATATAGTGACCTACTTTTATCAAGAGAACGCGATTGGTTTAATGAAAACAATTATTATTATAACCAATTGTACCAGTGATTGTTTTACTATACTTGTTTGTTTAACTGTACCAAAATACACACATTCTCCCGTTGATCGTGACCTTACACGAATTCGGTTACGCTTAGTAACCCCACTTGTAACCTGGCACGATCTCGGTATCCTTTCGATACCACGAGATCGTCAGCAAATACATCTCGAGTACAGCCATCAACTGCCTTCTGATATTTGGTCTACAAGGGATCTTGCTGGTTAACTGGCACCTAGTCTTCCTGTAGTGGCGATCATAGTCAACCGCGACTCTACACCACACTACAAACATAATAATCTCTACAATCACATACTGATATGATTACATTTTTGTAAACCATTCATGTTTTATCAGTGTATAGCTATGAGGAAAAACTAATTGAATAGAAAGTTCTTATCTTTATTCGTTCCTCTTTATTTCATATCAAAATGAAAATATACTTAAATATTATCAGTAGTCTAACATTTAAAAGTTGCTGTTAAGTTTGTCTTACTTTGTTCCTACACGTTCCTTTTCTACACTTTTGTATTTTGCTTTATACTACTTATTTATATTCAGTAAGCAGTTGTATGCTCAACAATTTTCACACTTATGTTGTAACTCAAGTTGTACTGTAACATTCTGAAATGTTCTCATATATCTTTAACGTTTATTTTACTTATCATTGTATTTATCATTATAATTACTGTAATTTAATTACTGTAACGTTTATCCACAGTTTTGTGCATTTGTTTAAACGCAACACTTTCCATATTGTTTTGCTCTTGGTTCGAGTTTCGGTTGCTCATAGACAGTTATCAAATTTAGACACAGCTATCAGCTATCTTTTGTACTATCATATGTTATAATTATTCTTTATGTTACTCTTACAGGAAGCCTTTGTTATCTTCATTCTTGAAGGACGCGTTTAAACGCCTAGACACCTCACAAGTTGAGGTTTGTAACTAAATGTTGTGTATTATTTAATAAAGAACCGCTTTTGTAGACAAATCGTTGTTTTGGAACTTCGATTTTGCGCGTATCTCAATCGGGGTTACTAGGACGCTTCGATAGAATTATCAGTTGCTATGAATCAAAATAGAAATGTAAAGTGTCTTGTCATCAACAATCAATCTACTGTGACTAATGTTATATACCTAACGAATAATAAATGAACGGTAACTGCTAGGATCTATTTATAGACTAATATTATACATATATTCTTATTGGATAACTATTAAGTAACTATATCATATGTGTATTCATATTCCTTTAATTATAAGCTTCCATTTGACATTTAGACTTCTATTATACAATTTACCAATCCTAACTTATTCCCAATGTATTAGTTACAGTTTTTTACAATCATTGCCACTTTTTTGGCTTGATCCTGTAGAAATGTTATTTTCTATTTGATGGTATGGTATGATATGGTTTGGTCTATTTGTATATAAACCAAGTATGTTCAAAATATATGATCCATATAGTAGAAACAGTGTTCTAGGCTCAAATAGACAGGGTTAGGAGAAAGAATCAATCAAGAATCAGAGATGATTCTAGGCTTCTTGTACTGGGTTATCATGTCATTGGTTTGATACAATATCAAAGTCATTAAGTCATGTTTTAATGAGCGATTTAGTCAGGTGATGTATTAACCATTGTAAAACAATGGGGTACTTTACAACGATCTCATTTTAAAATGTAATTGCTCAACAGCAGTGCATGAACGTAGTATCAATTACACCTTAGATCGTTACATCTCACAGTAAGCATCTAATCTTCAGATCATTCAGTTAGTCTCAAAATGGTATCCTTTAAAAGTTTTGATAAATAAAACAATAAAATCTAATTGTTTTTAGTAGTCTTACTTTTCAAGCATTTTATTAAAGTCTTTCATAAATTCATAATTGAGCCTTGTTATCTAAATATGAAAGAAGAATTCGTATGAATAAATGGTTATTCTTTATAAGGCATAAGAATTTTAAAGAAATTATAAGCAAAGATGGAATAATGGCTAGCAGTGGAATCCAGAGCGCGCGTCACTTAGCCGTATTTGGAAATCGTTAGCTGGATGTATGTACAACTCAGAGTTGATGTTTACTCTGGGATCCGAACCCAGTAGCATTCGTTTCAAACGCCATCGCGGTATACATTTAGCTACCGAGTACTGACAGCCACTTGCTTGTGATTATAATCCTTGAAAATTAAGGCAATATCGAGGCAATACGAACAGTATGCATATATGCCAATAAGAGACTGATCAATTTCAGTCCTAAACATCAATGGGAAGATTCAAGTAAAACAATATCAAATGAATTAAACTTCACCCCATTGCCCAAGCAAGTGACTATCAGGACTCAGTAGTTAGGTGGATAACGCGATGGTGTTAGGAGCGGACAGTATTTGGTTCGAGTCCCGGAATGAACATCAACTATGAGGTACAGGTACGTCCAGCTGACGAGTGCCAAATAGGACGAAACACGAGTCCTGGATCCCACTGCTAAACACTATTGCATCTTTGTTTATAATGCTTGTAAATTAAGGCAATATCGAGGCAATACGAACAGTATACACATATGCCAATAAGAGACCGATCAATTTCAGTCCTAAACATCAATGAGAAGATTCAAGTAAAACAATACCAAGTGGATTATTTTCACATTATCTCTTTATTATCCATGTCTCCTCTTACCCCCCATTTCCAGTTTAGTTTATCTTTTATTCTTCAAATATATATGTTCTTAACAAGTATATGTGTGATTAGATTGTTTGAAATGCATTGCGTTAATATATCACGTAGTTCTAATAATCTTCGTCTTCTTATCATACTATCAAAGGGACTAATTGCTTTCAATCTATAATTGATTAAACACTGAATAGTGACTAAATTTTTATTTGTCTAGTCTTTTTTAATAGTTGAGATTAGGAGTCAATTGAAGCTAGACCACCATGAAAAACCTGAAAGCACTGGACGGCCGTTTCGTCCTATTAAGGGACTCCTCAGCAGAGCGTGTTCACGATCCCGTTTCATCAAATTCGGACTCAGGACTTATTGGTCTCTCGCGTAAACGCTCAGCCACTAGACTATTGAGCTGTTATCCAGTGGTGTTAATGTCTAACTTCAACTAATCCACGAAATTGAACGACACATTCACCATTGTCTTCAGTGAGTTACTATCTCACAATAGACCCGGTTGAACTCTACTGGTCACTGCTTCACACCAGAACTCCAGTAAGTACCTTTTGAAGCCAGTCACTAGTAAGCATAAGTTCATTGATATTGGAAGGGGTTTTTGTGGATCTTATAGTAATTTCAATAGTTGAGATCATGAGTCTATTATTATTATTTAAACACATAAACATAGGTACAAGAAGGCACCAAATAGATATGCGTCACATAAATCAATCGATCTGTGTGAGGGCTAGGATACTGCCCAGATGCCCAAACTGAAGCAGGTGGTTTTCGGGGGTGGGCACACCCGGATCATTCGTCCTAAAGGTCTAGTCCACGAGGCAGTGGAGCAATGCCAAGAGATGCAGTCCCATGGTTGCCGGTGACCACCGATTTGTTCATACGCCATTTGTTCTCTCATGATCCTGGAGCCCATATGCACCAATGGTTTGCAATCAGATTTTTCCAACTCCTCTAGGTAGACCATCCATGTTCACCAACCTGGTTAAAGCGTCGGAAATTGGCTTTTCGTAAACAACACCCCCGCCTTTAGAAGGCAGTGAATAGGACTTCCCTGACAGTCGTATCCACGTGGCTATATTAGAGCATTTCGAGAGGGAGATTTGACTCTTCGCACTTTCGGCCATATCAAGGCGTTTTGGGGCTATAAACTAGATCACCATGGAAGACCTGAAACTACACAATAATTACGTATTCATCTCTCTCTAGAAATACTCTCACATGGACACGCGTATATAGCCTCTGCCAGGGAAGTCCTACTCACTCCCTTCTCGTGACGGGGTTGTTGTTTACGAAATTGAGAGGAAGAAAATCGAATGTCCGGAGCTTTAACTGGGTTGGTGGACATGGAGAGTCCACCTAGGGGAGTTGGTAAACCCTCATTCCAAACCAATGGTGCATATGGGCTCCAGTATCATGAGGGAAAAAATAGCATATGAACCAATCGGTGGTCACCGGCAACCATGGGACTGCATCTCTTGACGTTGCTCCACTGCCTTGTGGATCAGACCTTCAGGTCGAAGGCTCCGGGTGTGGCCCTCTAAGAAAACTACCTGCTTCGGTTTGGGCAATATCACAGCCGTCACACATATCAAATGAGATTTGTGTGGCGCATATGTATTTGGTGCCTTCTTGTACCAATGTTTATGTGTTAAAATAAATAAATAAAATATGTAAATGTGTATACATATAAACATACTTTTGTTTTACGCCAATCCATTAATGCATCTCTTAATACAGTTTCTAATTCAAATTTAATATAATCCACTTCATGTTGTTCTAAATGTCTATAAATTAATTTTTCCGGTTGTATCGTTTTTGGTAAATTTGTAATCCCACAACTTTTAGTATCATCTTTATTGTTTATCAATACTGTTTTATTAAAAACAGGTAACCAATGTTTTTTCGAACTTAAATCCCAAACTAATTCCCATGGTTCTTGTTTTGGTTGAATATTAGCTAAAATCTTTAATGTGAAAGATCAATATACAAAAACAAAAGAAATTAAGAATAAAAGTTAAATCTTTGATTGAGATCATGAACCGATCGACGTTAGACCATCACCTTTGGAAACCTGGGAGCACTTGACGGCCGCTCCGTCCTACTGTGGGACCCCTCAGCAGCGCGCACCCACGGCCCCGCCCGCGCGACTCGAACCCAGGGCCTTCGGTCTCGCGCGCGAATGCTTAACCAACTAGACCACTGAGCCGGCATCCAATGGTGATAGTGTCTAACATCAACCAATCCACGAAATTGCGCGACCAACTTCCATTGTACTGAGGTAGATACCTGTCTTTACCCGACATGGATTAGCTCCACTGATCACGGCTTCTCACTAGAACTCCGAGAATTCCCTCACGAAGTTAGTCACTAGTGAGTACATGTTGATTACTAGTATGGGGGTTGTGGAGATTATTACGTTTTTGATTGAGATCATGAACCGATTGATGCTAGACAGATGGATTGGAGTTGGTACAAACTTTCTTTTCTGTTTGGTACTTAACAACTTACTTACTTACACCTGTTACTCCCAATAGAAGAGCATAGGCCGCTGAACAGTATTCTCTAACCCACTCTCTACTGGGCTTTCTTTTCTAGTTCCATCCAATTCTTGTTCATTTTTCTCATGTCTATCTCCATTTCTCGACGTAATGTGTTCTTTGGTCTTCCACTTCTCTTTTGGCATTGACGAGTCTACGTGAGGGCGTGTCTTGTGACGTAGTTCAGTGCTTTCCTCAATGTGTGTCCTATCTACTTCCAACGCTTCTTCCTGATTTCTTCCTCCTCCTCTCTAATCTGGTTTGTTCTCTCTCACAGTAGGTTGTTACTGATAGTGTTTGGACAGCGGATCCGAAATATTTTGCGTAGATAACTGTTAATAAACACTTGTATCTTCTGGATGATGGTTTTCGTAGATCTCCAAGTTCCCGCTTCATACAGTAGAACTGTCTTCACATTTGTATTGAAAATCCTGACTTCGGTGTTGGTTGACAGACAGTTGTTTTTAGTTCCAGATGTTCTTTAATTGTAGATATGCTTCTCTTACTTAAACTCATCCAATATCTAGAAATTCGTTTCAGTGAAGGTTTCTTCTCGGAATTGATTATTGAAATCCCAAAACTTTCATTGTCCTTCTGGTCATCATCATCATTAAAAAACACAAACCAAATTTATCAACGTTAAACAGATAGCTTACACTGTTAGTCTTGATCTTGTTTGGTTATCACTGATCCTTTCCCTATCATAGTCTGATTACTTCTTATTCTAATTTGTCATCTAGTATTTGACTTGATTGTTGTGATGTAATTGGTTTCTTATCTTTTGTACAAACTATCGAATTCCTTAAATTTGAACCCATGAATTTCAGCCTAATGATTTAAAAGGATCATGTTCATGTCAAGATTTCTCTATACAGAAACTAAAATCCCCTTTATGCGTTCAAAAACAATTTGTCCTTACCCTTAACCTACCCTGGTAATACTGATTTATTAGCCAGAGTGATTATCATATTGTTTTTGTGTACTTTATTATTTTTTTCTTTGTTACGATTTACCTTTAACCTGTCTAGTTGACCTTTTAATTTTCATATAAAAATGTCTAAAATCTCCACAATACCCCTTCTGTTAACAACAAAGAAATAAACAATGACAGATTTAAGGTCAACAAGAACCAATCAACATCGAGGAGTACAGGACAAACTGTGAACCATATGTGAAGAAATTTGAACACTTCACTTCTACCTGAAGTTTGTGCTGTGGATGATGTCGTTCAGAAGAACAATGAAAGTTTCACGACCAAATCATCCAGCTCAGAGAACAAAACTCCATTACAAATTATATGTTTGATCAGATTTTTCGAAATGTATTGCACAAATATATATCATCACATAATTCTGATAACTTACGTCTTCTCACTGCATTATCGAAATTTATCAAACGGGCAGATTTATCTGTATTCTAACGTTGATATTCACATTAGGTCATGAATCTAGTATATTTCGCTTTGATTATTTATGATATTCACTAAGCTACTGATCCCCAAATAGCGACTAACTTGTTCAAGCTCTATAATACTGTTATCATTCAATTTAACCGGTCTTTGCTGGTATGTGTGCAAAAATCTCTTCGATCATTTCAAAATTACTGTCTTATATTTTACATGAATGTAGAAATTTAATTCAATAGAAATACAGCGTTTAGTTTTTGATGGTGTTTTGTTCTCTGATCAGGATGGTTTGGTTGTGGTGCTTTCATCGTTAGACATTAACATCGTTGAATGCTGGTCTAGAGGTTGAGCGTTCGCGCACGAGACTGAAGGCCCTGGGTTGGAATCCTACCAAGAGGGTCGTGGATGTGCACTGCTGAGGAGTTTTACAATGGGGCGAAATGAGCGTACAGCGCTTCCAGGTTTTCAATGGTGGTCTCACTTCTAAAACTTCTTTAGTGTTTTTAGATTTGTCTCTATCCAGTCGAACGTGTGTCCACAGTTTCCTAAATGCATTGATATAAGCGACGATATGTCATGGAGTTTGACCGCTATTAGATTTTAATGAACGCAAAGACGATGAAGGCATCCACTTCGTCCGACGTAGCGTTTTTTTTGTAGTTGGCACAATTTATTTTGTAGATGATGTTCAGTTTTTTTTTTCTTTTATCATTTCATTCATTGGTTTGCATAGGATTGATTGTAGTGATTTTGTTGATTTGTGTGCAACACCTATTCCTAAAGGTTTTAACAATCTCATCGCAGTTTCTGATACGCCTTCTTATGTATAGTAGGGTGATCCGTTTGTTCGTTTCTGTACTTGACTTTGTTTCTGATGGTGAGTTCCGTCGGTATTTTTTTCCGAGGAAGTTTATTGCGTGACCGTTCATTTGAAAGATGGTCTTCAGGTATTTTTCTTCATTTTCTCGTTCTGCCAGTATGTTGCAGTCTAATGTATTACATTCAAGTTTAGCGATGAACGTATTATTTAGATCAGGGATCTATCACACTATCTTATAAATTAGTTAAGCGTTATTTTACAAAATATGGGATATATCCATCGTGTTTTTTTTCACAAGAATACTCTTTACTTGATATAATAAATTTGTTGAATCTATGTTCCCATTTGTTCACTGCACAATATGATGTCTATCTACCGTTCATCCATAATGTATGAATCCAAGTAATGACAACATTAGTTTTATACATAGCATAGATAGAAATATCTTACTAAATTACGCCTGTTACTCCTCGTGGGGGAGTATAGGCCGCCCACCCTGCCTTCAGCAATCCTTTCTAGTTCTTTCTAGTTGTTATTCATCCTTTTCATATCTGCTTCCATTTCCCAACGTAAGGTGTTCCTTGACCTTCTTGTTTTCCTATTCCTTTCAGGATTCCAAGTTAGCGCTTGCCTCGTGATGCAGTTTGATGATTTGCGTAATGTATGTCCTATCCATTTCCATAGTCTTTTCCTAATTTCCACTTCAGCTGTAAGCTGGTTTGTACTCTCCCACAGAAGGCTGTTGCTGATGGTATCCGGCCAATGTATGTTGAGTATCTTACGTAGACAACTATTTATAAATACTTGTACCTTCTTGATGATGGTTGTAGTAGTTTCAGATCCGTACAACAGAACTGTCCTGACGCTCGTATTGAAGATTCTCACTTTGATATTGGTTGAGAGTTGTTTTGAGTTGCATAAGTTCTTTAATTGTAAGAATGCGGCCTTTTCTTTGTCAATCCTCGACTTTACGCCTGCATCTGATCCTTCTTGTTGATTAATGATGCTTCTCAGGTACGTGAAAGATTCCACATCTTCTAGAGTTTCGCCATCAAGTGTCATTAAGTTGATGTTCTTGCTTTTTCCTTTGTGTAATATTGACAAATAGAAAGATGCATGATTATTAATAAACATTAGATATGATAAATTACATACTACAATAAGAATATTGTAATTATATTTCTATAAAATTAGAAATCAAACTCACATTCTCAGAATTAACTAATCCCCAAACAGAACGTAATGGATTATTCACATCATGAACTGAATAATGTTGACCAGTTACAGGATTCCATAAACGCCAACCAATAAGATTGGTCATTTGTTTATTTGATATATAATCTTCAGTCAATATATAAACAGTACGACCTAGGAATAAAACAATGTAAGCATCATTTACAAATTTCTATATTACGAATTTCAGAATGAATTCAACAATCTGTTCAAGATCCTACAATAACAGGCTTTATGCTCTTATTATTGACTTACTTCAAGAAGTTGTGACTAGTGGAGTTCAATAGTGTCAGATGTATGATAAATATCACCAATAGAAATAAATAAGTCATGTGAAATCATTGTACATCACTAGATACTGATTTAGTGATTTGAAAGTTGAATGCTTTATTAAAGACCTGAAGGCCTTGACTCAGGAATAAGTACTACCGTAGAATCTTGTTCTAGGATGAAACAATTATTCAATAGTCCTAGATTTTCAATGCTTGTCTAGCTAGAGTGATGTGAATCTACAATGTTTATAAACTGTTCACACAGATTCGGATAAATCTATCGATTGAATTAACCGTTTGTGATGTATATGTGACTTTGAATATACAGTAGTTGATTGTTCTAAACTGTTCACTTTGACTCAAAACTAAGATTTCTTAATCTTGAAGGTTTAAGTGATTCATTTTGACTGGAGCACTTATCCCTACTTTCTTATTTATATAAAGAAGTACCATTGGAAGAGTGACTAGATTAAGATGATCAAATATCAGATAGAAGGAGAACATAGTAGTGCTGATTGTATCAATATACTACTTCATTTAGGTACTTCTTACTTATAACTAGCGTCTATAGTTTAGCGTCTATAATCATTTCACGATTTAAAGAAGGGATTTTTAGATGTAGATGCCAACATAATGATATACTCTATCATTGCTCATCAAGACAATCATGTATGGAGAAATTATGTTATCTAAAAGGTTTTCTATCAGTTTATATGTATTTGCCATAACACATGCATAGAAAAGAAATTTGGAAGCACTGGATAGCCATTTCGTTCTAGCGTATGAGACTTTTCAGCTTTGCGCATTCTTGATCCAACACATACAGGAATCGAATCCAGGACCTTTAGTATTGCGTTTAAACGCTTAACTTATAGACCATTTTGAACCGGTATTCAACGGATGTCAATGTCTAACCTCCCCCAATTCACATCATATAAGTTAAATATTCCTTCACTGAACTACTAAAGAGTGGAGGCAATCATGAAATAGATGAGTAATTATCATGTTTATATTATCATTTCTAGTAAGAGTTTTTAAATAAAACTATCAATATAAACAAATAGCTATGAGGACTCAGTAACTAATTGAATAAACACGATGGTATTTGAAGCGAACTGTACTAGTGTTATGTCCCGATAAGCATAATCAATGGTTACTTTTGGGATCCATTTATGGACCATTACTATACTTATATTTTTATCGTATAATTGTTAAATAACTAAACTGTTCATATTCATTTCCCCCTTATTATGAGTTTTATTTTGACCTATGAACTATTATTATATGATTTAGCATTCCTGAGCTATGCCCAGTCTGTCAATTCCAGTCTCTCACATTCACAGCCACATTTGGCTAAATCTTGTACAAATGTTCTTTCCTATTTTATGGTACGATGTGGTCTGTCTGGTTGGTATATAAACCCAGTATGCTTGAAATAGATGATTCACATCACAGAGGTTGAGATTGGTGTTCTGGACTTAACTGTCTGGGCTAGTCGGAAATCAGGACCAATAAGGACTCTAGACTGCTCTCATGTGTTTTACGCGATCGATAACTCACTGCTCTCTAATTGGCAGTATCGTTACGCTATTCATTAGCAGGGCACTCAAGTCACAAGTTATAACAACTAGGTTCAAGTCCGAAAATGAACATTAACTCTGAGATTCCGGTACATTCAACTGATAAATTCCGAATAAGATGAAGTGGCGAGCGTCCTGGATTCCACTGTTAACTACTTTACATCTTTGCTTAGATCAATCTTATAATTTATGTAATACTGAAAACAATTTTACCTTCGGGAATAGCTTCACCAATACATAAATAAATTGAATTCATTGATTTATTAATAGATTGATTTAATGACTTATCATTTATGATTGTTGTTGTTTCACCATCACTATTATCCATTGTACTATATTTGAATATGTACATAAAATAACATGCTAATAATACTGCATGCTCTTCTTCATCACCGCATAACATACTTAAAAATTGCTAAAAAAAAATTGTTTTTTGGAAAATAAAAAAATAAAATCGATTTAGAAAAGTATTTCACTGGTTGAAATCATGAGTCAATTGAAGTTGGACTACCATGGAAAACCTGGAAGCACTGGACGGCCGTCTCGTCCTAGTAGGGGACTCCTCAGCAGTGCGTATCCACGATCTTGCCCTCCGCGAGATTCAAACGCAGGACCTATCGGTTTCGCGCCAGGCGCTTGATCAACTGGACCACTGAGTCGGCATCCAACGGTGTTAATGTCTAACTTCAACCAATCCACAAAGTTGTGCCACCGTACACCATTGTCTTCAGTGAGTTCTTATCTCACAACAAACCTGGTTGAACTCCACTGGTAATGACTTCTCACCAGAACTCCAGGAGTATCTCCCGAAGTCAGTCACTAGTGAGTAGGTGATTATTATCAGAATGGGTTATTTGGCTAGACTATAAATTATGGACAAGTCAATCAGAAGCGTTTGAAAAATTTCAAAGTCATAGCGCCGATTTCATTACCTGATGCTTATGTAATATCGGTTCGTAGAGGTTTTTGGGGAAGTCATGATAATTGAGCGGTTACAATAAATGAGATTATTATTAAGAAGTTCCTTTATTTGTAATTGTGGTAATCAAATGATTTGTGGACTTTATGCAGATTACTGTGATGATGTTGTCTGGTAGAATAGAACTTTTTTCACTCGATCCAAATTGAGACTACGGTAAATTATGGTAATTGTTGCGAACTGTATAATAAAAGCACCAGTAACATTGGTTTGAACATTCGCAGATATTACTGAAGCTTCGGTTGTTCATTGGTATAAGTGTTGTAGAGATAAATGAGTAATAAAAATGACGAGCTTACTCAACCAGAGTGCGCACAAGCAATATTGAAGCTATGTGATCGAGGCTGAAAAAGTTTTGCGACCTTATAATGGCTCCAGAGGCCGACTATTATGGAGTCATATGGATGAGTTCGTCTACCGTATGCATTACGATTTTAGAACCTCGGAACCTTTTTCTAACCTTGACAAGTTTTTGAACCATGTAAAAGAAGTATATCCACTTTAATTCTTTGGTTTCGTGTAATATATCTTTACTTTATACTAATTGTTTTCTGATTGGCTAATATTTCCCAGGGTCACACAAGATTCGTTCAAAGGTCGTCCATCAATTATAGTCTCCTCAAAGGTTGAATAACTGTCTACGAAAATAAGAGTTCAACCCGGTATGCTGTGAGCTAGTAACTCACTGATGACAATGGTGGATGTGTCACTCAATTTTGTAGATTAGTTGAAGTTTGACATTAACATCGTTGGATGTTGAATGTACTGTCCAATCGATACACTGATTTGCTATTTTTAATCATAAATCGATTATTTGATATAACATAAGACTAATTTGTGTATAGCATATCATAAAGAGAAATCGAACAAACTTACATCACATGTACACCAAACTTGTACTAAACCGGGAAATGATGCAATATCAGATTCATAAGGAATCAGTGATACATAACGGGCTAAGCGTAACTAAAATAAAGTAAAAAAAAGATTATAAAATGAACAGACTTATGATTGTCTTGAACAATTGTAAATATTATACTTAATATGTAAGATAGATTTAAGATAGAAGACAATGGTGGATTTGTCACTCAATATCGTGGATTAGTTGAAGTTAAAAATTAAAACCGTTGGATGCTGGCCAGCTCAGTGGTCTAGCGGTTAAGCATACACAACCGAGACCGATAGGTCATGGGTTTAGCATCTCTCGAGGTGAGATGATGGGTGTGCACTGCCACAGAGGAGTCCCACAATAGAACGAAACAACCATCCAGTGTTTCCAGATTTTCCATGATGGTCCAGCTTCAATCGACTCATTATCTCAACCATTGAAATTAAGACAAATTTCTTTAAAATCTTATGAACAGTTATGACTGATATGGTTGATACAAACAAATCTTTTCTTGGGCCTCTAGAGAGTTGCTTAAAGGATATTTGTAGATTGTCAATAAGAAGTACTGGAAGTTGATGTAGATGATAGATGTGTGGAACACATGTACAATCCACTTCAGTCATATAAACTGACTTGTCTTCTTTACCTTTTGGTGGCCCGTGAATCTGACTCCTATTTAGATCGTACGAATGTTTGTTATCGCCTATTCTCGTATATGATCGTCGACTTAAATCGCTTTAGTCAATAACGGAATTAAATAAGTCGAATAACGAGAATCGACCTGTGCATACATATATTTTGTATATGAAGCGAATGAAACAGAGCGAAGCAAAATGATACGCAGGGAAGATGGCTGCGAAGCCAACTCCATTTTAGTCAAGCGTTACTCAATATTTATAGGTAGACAAAAATAAGCTACAGACGTGATGAGACATGGGATATGAAGTGTGCACACATATGCGCTCATATAAAAACAATGAAGACTGGTAAGCGAATAACTAACAAGGTCAAAGTATGGCTCGAGTAGAATGAATAAAATGGGATGTCCGAAAGCTAGAATAAGGTATATGGGCTTGGCATAATAACCGACACTACACTTAATACCTTACTTCAAACTTTGGTATTACTCAGTTGGATGTTTTTTTTTGTTATTTTACAGAGGCGGGGATACAATGTTTCACTGATCACTTTGACCCAAATAGTTAAGGTAATACTGTTAACTTACGCTATACTTAGTTCAATGGTTGTTCATGTCTTCTAGATGACTGTCTTTTTTTCCATGAACTACACTAATCGAAGAGAAAAAATTGAGCATTCTCCTGATTTCAATAATCCACCATCTTTGTATTCTATACGTAATCTCTTCTCTCCAACTAGCTAAGCAACTAATCCTTTGGATACTTTCAAATATGTGACCTATTTTTTTATAAAAGTATTACTGAATAGTTTCTATAAAACTACAATAATATAGGTATATATGTAATATCGGGGTGTGATGTTACATTCTCATCTAATTCTTTAAAAGTTCTTAACAAAACTAATCTAACGTAGAAGTGAAAATGACTAAAACCCCTTTTTTCATACTTACCATAGATTCTGAAATGCTGAAACCGGTCTTTGTTCCTGGTAGAAATTCCTCTGGAGGATTAAGTGGAGTCAAAAAACGTGTCATTAATATTTCTTGACAATCTGAATTCATTACTAATGGTTTAAATTGTCTTTCAGTCATAAATTTATGCTTTGATAATTTCTGATACCATTTTGATAAACTTGTTTGCACTTCAAGTGATTCAATTGAGATAAACTGAAATAGTTTACATAAGATTGTAGTTTATATCAAAACAATATATTATGTTGAATATCAGTTAATAAAGAGACAGTTTAAGCAAAGATGGGTAGTGGCTAGCAGTGGAGTCCAACACGCGCGCCACTTCGTCCTATTTGGAACTCGTCAGTTGGATATACCTGAATCTGATTTGAAGTCCACTCTGGGACTCCAACCCAGTACCGTTCGTTTCAAGCACCATCGCGTTATTCGCTTAGTTAATGAGGCCTGATAGCCATTTGCTTGTGCAGTGGGGTGAAGTTTAAATTCACTTGCTATTGTTTACTTGGCTATCAGGACTCAGTAAAGTGGATAATGCGATGGTGTTTGAAGAGAACAGTACTGGGTTCGAGTCCCAGAGTGAACATGAACTCTGAGATACAGGTACATCCAGCGAACGGGTCCCAAATAGGACGAGGTGGCGCGTGTGCTGGACTCCACCGCTAGGCGCTATCCATCTTTGCTTATAATGCTTGTGAATTAAGGCAATATGGAGGCAATACGCACAGTGTGCACATATGTCAATAAGAGACTGATCAATTGCAGTCCTAAATAACGATGGGAAGGTACAAGTAAACAATACAAAGAGACATTTTATTTTTAAAATTGATTGATAACCGAGTTAATGATAGATGTGATATATGTCAATTAATTCTAAGTGCTGATCAAGTTCTATCTATGAGGTTTCAGTTTAGTTACTAGTAGAACTGACTGGACACTGCGTGATGATTTTTAATCCTTCATTTATCAGAGATAACTGAATCATAAATTCAGTAATACATTATGTGTTAAATGGTTGAAGATAGTTAGTAAATAACCATGTTGGACTTATGCTACATTCCTATGTGAATAATCTCAAAGCAACTGATACATTCCCCAGGTTTCGAACCTAATTCATTGTGAGTCACAGTTAAAGGGGGGTTATCATTAGGCTATTTGAAATCATTTCACTTAACTAAGTGATCTATCATTGAATATTGATTTCATCAATCGTTTTAATTACTGTAATCATGTTCAATCAATATGATTTAATCATATGTACTAAATACTTACCGTATCAATTAATGGTGTTGGTGGGTAAATAGATGGTTCCAATGTCATTAAAATATCAATCATTGGTCTAATGGATGATTTTACAAGATTAATTGTTTCATATCCTTGTAAAATTAATGGGATTGACAAATTGATTTTACCACTAATCTATAAAAGAATGTTGATTAAGGAAAAAAATTGATTAACAATGAAATGTATGAGATGGTAGAGAAGATTCGTAGTTCAAGTGGATGATTTTAATTGAGTTTTGTTCTCTGAATTACAGTCGCTTGGTCGTGGAGCTTTCATTGTTCTTCTAAATGACATCATCAGCATAAATGTTAGGTAGAAGTGAAGTTTTCGCTGATAATGTCGTTCAAAAGAATGATATGGGCTGTGATATGGCTCAGGTGCCCAGACCGAAGGAAGTGGTTTTCTTAGGGGGGGGGGCACACCTGGAGCCTTCGACATAAAGGTCTAATCCACAACGTAATGGAGCAATATTAAGAAATGCATTCTCATGGGTGGCTGGTGACTAACAAACAGTTCATACGCCATTTGTTCCTTCAGGATAGTGGAGCCCATTTGCATTATTGGTTTAGAATTATGGTTTTCGGACTACCCTAGGTAGAACCTGCGTGTTTATCAACCCAGTTAAAGCGTTACACGTTCGCTTTTTTATCCTCTTAATTTCGTAAACAACACCTTCACCGCAAGAAGGCAGTGTGTATTCACAGACAGCTGATATACACAAATCAATAACAGAATAAAATTATCAGAATGGGTTTTGTGGAGATTTTTTAGAAATTTCACAGGTTGAATCCCGCGGGGTGCGTGATCGTGGATTCGCACTGCTGAGGAGTCCCATACTAGAACGAAACCGCCGTCCAGTGCTCCCAGGTTTTCCATGGTGGTCTAGCTTCAATTGACTCATGATTTCAACCTGTGAAATTTCTAAAAATTCTCCACAAAACCCATTCTGATAATAATAATCACCTGCTCACTAGTGACTGACTTCGGAAGATACTCCTGGAGTTCTAGTGGGAAGCCATTACCAGTGGAGTCCAACCAAGTCTGTTGTGAGATATCAACTCACTGAAGACAATGGTATACGGTGGCGCAACTTCGTGGATTGGTTGAAGTTTGACATTAACACCGTTGAATGCCGGCTCAGTGATCTAGTGGTTAAGCGCTCGCGCATGAAACTAGTAGGTCCTGCGTTCGACTTTCGCGAGGTGCGGGACCGTGGATACTCACTGCTGAAGAGTCCCATACTAGGACGAAACGGTCAGGTTTTCCATGGTGGCCTAGCTTCAATTGACTCATGATTTCAGCCTGAGAATAAGATTCACGAAAGAAATGTAATGTAAACTAGTAGAGAGTCATATATATTCCAATAAAAACATAGATATGTACCTTAGTATTTAAATAAACAGTTGATAAAGGTATTTCAGTTGAACCAATTAAACGATGTTCTATATGTTGTATATAATGAGATGATTCATTTTGATTTGAATCTGTTTGATTGAAAATGACTTGATCATATATATTAATAATAATAGGATCTTTCATATTTTCTAATTTTGGATTATCCAATGGTAAACTATTGAATGTAATAAGTAAAAATGAAAGCAACATATTAACATTAGTAACTAGTGAATTTTCATGTGAAAGTGAAACTTGACAAGATTTGGTTCTCGTTACAAATATCTATTATGCAATCAAATAGTGAATATGATCTGGTGATCAAGCTATTATAACTTGTGCCGCCTATTAGGCAGCAGTGACTTATAGATCGAATCAATGACACGTAAACGCGTATAAGCAGTCTAGAGTCTTTATTGGTCCTGCTTCCTGCTTAATCCAGCCAGTTAAGTCCAGAACATCAATCTCAGCTTCTGCAATATGAATCAATATATTTTGTAGCGGTAAATAAATCCCCAAAATAAGTAGCTCTGTAGGTTTTTGACATTGGATGCTGACCAGATTAGTTTTAGTGGGCTCACCTAGCTGAAGGCGCTCGGTCATGTATCCGCGCCAGATCACGTGTGGGAACGCCGTGCTCAACATCTACTACAATCGCTAGCCAGACTAGGTCAGACAATTCCGATATATTGGCAATCGTCAAATACAACTTCTGATCTACTCGGTTCTGTCTTTTGATTTCTCTTGGTGGGTACGAGTTATATTAGAAGGTGTTACTAGTAAAAGCGTTGTCAAACACTGAATACCTGTGCCATCTACATTATCAAACATACTGAGTTTATATACCAATCAAACAGACCACAACGTACCATAAAATAGGAAACAACATTTGTACAAGACTTGGCCAAATGTGGTTGTGAATATGGGAGGCAATGACTAATAGACAGAGCATAACTCAAGAATGGTAAATCGGATGATAATGGTTTATAGATCAAAATAAAGCTTATGAATAGAGGAGTATAAATATGAATAGTCTAGTTACATAACAGTTATATGATAAAAATATACGTTTAGTATTGGTCCATAAAAGGATCCCAAAAGTTACTATTCATTATGCTTATCTGGACATAACTAGATAATATATTCTCCCATTCTAACTCCTTATTCTACCTATGAACCTTAAGTAAAGAGAAGGATTGTAATGTATCATTGTATTACAGATCATTTGTAATCATAACACAACTATGAATTTATTCTTATTACCTAATCTATACCTTCATTCATTGTAGATGATGTCAGTTAGTGATAAAAGATGTATAAGATCAAAACTTGAACTCATACCACTAGCCTAACTAATAGTAGGTATACTTAATCATTATTCCACCTTAGTTTAACCGCTTTTTATTATTAGTTGTTTTATAACTAAACAATGTTTTCCGACTAGTTGATAAGTTATTCAAGGTAATCAATACAGTATACATAACTAACTAAATTCAACTGTGAGGTGTGTTACTAATATTGACAGATATAACTAGTATATATCACCATTCGAAAGTGAAATGCCTGAAGGTGGAATGTTAAGATTGAAGAGAAGAGAACGAGAACAGAGAATGATTAGTGTAGAAATGAAGGAACAATCAAGTCTGAGACGATTGTTTAACATTTTGCAAATGAACTATGGTTCTCAAATTTAATTAAGAGATTCTGTAATTTTGTATTCAATGATAAATTGATTGCTCTCAAATGTATTCATGTTTACTATAAACCTATCAGTGATTCTTTAACAATTTACATTCAAACAGGTTGAATAGGTGAGACTATAACTTATGGACGAACCAATCCGGTATAAGATAACAGGTCTCGGAGTTTGGAGCGAAATTCACTCAACCATTTGGCTAAATAGAGTTTTGGTATTATAGCTGATATCAGTTCGTGATGAAAACCCTAAATCTAATTCCTAACCTTAACCATCAACTGTAAATCATAATTCTAACCCCCCTCCACAATGTTTTATAACCCTCTTTTGGTACCGGTTATAAGGTGAACACTCTCACGGTCAATCTAGCGTCATTCAGAAGTCGTCTATGAATTACAGCCTAACCATGAAAAATATTTGAAGATAATTTTCACCACAGACTAAATTTATCCAGATAATCATTAGAAATCAGGAAGTAATGAACAATACAGTTTCGTCTATTTATGTGACTTTACATTAGTGAATATGCAAGACTTCACATTAGAAATTCAAAATTCCTAACATTTGGAAGTTACTGGTGAGGTTTTGTTCTCTGAGCTGGATAGGTTTTGGTCGTGGAGCTTTCATCGTTCTTCTGAACGACATCACCAGCACAAACTTCACGTAGAAGTGAAGTGTTCGGATTTAAGGTCAACAAGAACCAATCAACATCGAGGAGTATAGGACAAACTGTGAACCACATGTCGAGAAATATGAACAATTCATTTCTGTCTGAAGTTTCTGCTATGGATGATGTCGTTCAGAAGAATGATGAAAGTTCCACGACCGAATCATCCAGCTCAGAGTTCTGTATTTTTCTTATTTTCACTTATTTTAGTGTATTACCATATACTACTTAATATGATTCAGTAACCTATCTCATTCCAAGTGTAATATAATGATCTTATGTGTTTACTGATCATATTCAATTTATCGAATACATTAAATCATATATAGTTTACACTAACCATTCATATTGCAACATTCAAAGACTATGAAAATGAATGATGTAGATTGGATTCTTATAAGAAGTATCATTTCTTTTAAACTTATAGATGAATGCTAACTCTTACAGTAATCTAAGTCAAATATAGTTTTCTATCAAACAGTATTCATCATAATAAACTTACTAGAAAGGAAATCGAAATTCCGTATTCCAACTAGGATTTCTACCTTCTGATGAATTAGTTGATTGTTTATTCTGTTGAAATTTAATAACAGCAAATGGTTTCAAAAGCTAATAGAACGAAAGAAAGAAAAATAACGGGTGCCTTTTATTTTAATTTTCAAAATTGTTTTTATTTACAATTTTAGATAAATGGGAAGTTAGACATTAACATCGTTGGATGCCGGCTCAATGGTCTAGTTGGTTAAGCTCCTGGCGCGAGACTGATAGGTCCTGGGTTCGAATCTCGCGAGGTGGGGTCGAGGATTCGCACTGCTGAGGGCGAAACGGTAAACCAGTGCATCCAGGTTTTCCATGATGGTCTAGCTTCAATTGACTCATGGTCTCAACTGTTGAAATAAATGGGAAATTTTCAAAACTTTGAATAATTTTTGATATTTAGTATTTAATATAATTCTTAAACTTCGTATACAGTTCGTCTTAATAACCGTCAATAGATAACGTCTCTAACGATGTATTAATCAGAAGGTGAATATGAAGTGTTGATTAAGTTTATTTATTACACTACGACGTACAGATCAGCAAAATTACAGATACACTTAACAAGCATGAAAGTTAAGACTTATAGCTATTGGTTTTTTATTGACAGTAATTACTTCAGTATTGTTTTCTTTATGCTTCTTATACTTGTCAATAAACTATTGTGGGTAAAAGATGTCTCGCAGGCATTTTTCCACTTTCATCAATTCTTCTTCGAGTTTGTCAGTGGTACATATCTTTTCTACCCTATAAAATAGTGTTTTAACTAATGCCTTCTTGTAACTGAGTGGACAAAAGCTATTGAAATTCAGGTAAAGGCCATTTCAAGTACTTTTTCGATAAAGCGCACGTCCGACTGTTTCGTCTTTCCTACGTTTTATAGCAACATCAAGAAAGTGGAACATGTCATTCTGTTCGTGTTCCATAGTAAATTGTATGTTAGGATGAGCGTTATTGAAGTGTTTTAGCATGCGGATTGCATGCTGTTTATTGTTACAGACAATAAACGTGTCATCAACATATCTAGAATATTCCGTCGTTTCGCTAATCATCTGTTTAAGCACCATGTTTTCAAGATACCCCATAAAAATATCTGCCAGAATTGGACCTAGTGGGCTTCCCATTGCTACGCCGTCGATCTGACGATATATGGTGTTATTAAACTGGAATTGAACGTCTGTTGTGCACATTATGAATATGTCTTTAATATAACTTCCAATCAAACTCTTTTATGTAAGTAATTTAAACCCATTAATTATGATTTTAAATATCACAGGTTGTAAGCAGCTGACGAGAACCAACGAAATAAAAAATGAATTCATGCTATTCTGCTAGAATGGTTGTTCTTGCTCTTTTCAAAATGATAAAGGGAACTATGTGTATGAAATCTTATACTTGGTTGGTTCGTCCATAGATTATAGTCTCGCTGATATTTCTTTGACACGAAGATTGTATACAGATAACTTGGAAAAAATAAACATTCACAAAAAATAGTTTTCCACCAAGTAAGCTTCGAAGTAATTGAAATGAACGATTCTTCGAAAATCCATAGATAGATCAGATCACACGTGAACACATTTGGGAACAAAGTTACTAACGAAATATCGATCTAAATAAATCACAATGATTATTCAAAACAAGGTGGAGCTAACAAAGATAGACAAAAATAACTCTTACATCATTTATATTGTCAGTTTTATTACGATAATTTGATTGATCTATTCGTTTCGTACATCGATTTGGTAAGTTATAAGCACCATGTATTGTAACTATTAGTTCAAGACTAGAATTTTGAACATATTGTGCACCAATACGTCGACGTTCTTCATATCTAGGTCTTAATGGACGTTTAGGTTGTAATAATCTTTTGAAAAATGGCAATAGGAATCTGTACACAAAAAAATCGGGTAAAAAATATTCTGATTTATATTTGAACTACTATAATTAAATTAAGTAGTAAAATAAGATTTATGGTAGATAGAGGATCTGTGAATAATTCACCTATTCCATCATAATTAACTAACCGTAAATACTTGATTAATGTGATGGTCAGGTTTGGGTATCGTAACAGTGCAAACAGTTCGGTTTAGCGATGAAATTTACCCTGGTCACTAGTTAACTTTATACGATGTTATATAGTTGCTTTATAGTGTCAGAATAACGTTGATGTTTAGATAGTAAATATTTGGTTTGAATTACACTCGCTAAATTAGCATTTCAATCTAAACCAGTATTATTTCATCTAGCTAAATGAGTGTGGAAACCAATCAATCTTAAGATGGTGGAGAAGATTTTTAGTTCAGCTGAATGATTTGGTCGTGGAGCCTTCATTGTCCTTCTGAACAAGATCATCGGCACAAATATTGAGCATAATCAAGTTGTATGTGAAGAAATTTGATTGTGTTGTTCAGAGGAACAATGAAAGCTCAACAACCAAACGATTCATTTCAGAGCACAATACTCCACCAAAATTACTGGATCTGTTTAAGCAAACATATTTCTAGTAGTCCTCTATCTTGGAGTGAAATATAGAAACTCACGTGCAATTGAGTTTGTTCTCATTTAACTCAGTTAAGCCCTTTTGTTAACTTATTTAGCGGACAAAGCCATCCGTACTATAACAACTAATTGTACCTTTATTATTGTTATGCTTGTATGAAATATGTAGGCTTGAACATTGCTTACAGCCTACGCATATATTCATTCTGCTAGCTTTATTATTAGCTGCTTAATTCATTCGATGATCCATTCATTTCCCTATATATTTATACATGTACATTTACAATCTACACTCTCGGTTCGCTGACTCACTCATTCGCCTCACTGCTTTGTGGTCTGAGTTACCTGCCAATAAAACTGTAGTTTCTGCTTCTCTTTACCTTCTGATTTCAAACACCGTTGAGGATTATATGGTAACGGTTACAAGGATGATTAGTCAACGTAGCACAGTCACTACAGAAATATCCACTTATATTGGAGAAGATTGGTAACAAAGCTTGAAATAACAAACTAAAATTTAGATTCACTTAGTGTTGTTTTACTTGTATCTTCTCATTGTTACTAAGGTCTGCAATTGATCAGTCTCTTATTGGCATACATACATTCTGTGAGTATTGCCTCGATATAGCCTTAAGTAACAAGCTTATTAAGGAAAGATAGATAGTGGCTAGCAGAGAAATTCAGGACGCGCGTTTCGTCATATTTGGGACTCGTCGGCTGGGTTTACCTGCATCCTAGATAGCGTTTGAATCGAACGGTACAGGGTTCGAGTCCCGGAGTGAACATCAACTTGGGAATGCAGCTGGGAAGTCCCGAATAGGACGAAGTGGCGCGCGTCCTGGGTTCCACTGCTAGCTACTATCCATCTTTGCTTAAAAAAATAAAACTTAATATCAATTCACGGATTCAATTACTATTCATCATTAAAAAACTTACAAAATATTCGGTATCTCTTCTTCAATGACAATTTCACGAAGTGATTTCTTATTTAATATATCTTGAAAGTGTTGATTAACTTCTAATTTAATCTATGATATGTAGGTATGATAAGATAAAATATTAATTATTAAATAAATAAATATTCGAGTTAATTATACATCGTTTTAGGTCTTTAACTTCTTTAATAACAGTCAGTTAGTAACAACGTAGAACTTCGTACGTATGTACATCAGTTCGAGTTGCCATACCACATTAGCACAGAGATGCAGTTGTCGATTCAAATCCCGTAGTGGTAGAGGTAGCAAGAGTATAAGCAGTAATCGGGAAGATTAGGGTTTGAAAATGTTATTCAAGGAGTATAACAATATTCTGAATTGATTTAATCGTAATTGTTCGAATGTCGCGAGGCGAGATCGTGGATGCGCTCTTACAATAGAACGAGACGGCGTTCAGTGCTTCCAGGTTTCCTATAGTGGTCTAGCTTCAATTGGCTCAACCCCTTTTGATAATAACTGTTATGTGGACAAACATATATCGATTTTTGTTGTTATTATATTTAGAGATATTATTATTTGAACACATAAATATTGGTACAAGAAGGCACTAAATACAAATGCACCAAACAGATCACTTGATTTATGTGTGGGCTGTGATACTTCCTAGGTGCCCAAACCGAAGCAGGTGGGCTTCTCAGGAGGCTACACATGGGGCCTTCGACCTAAATGTCTAATCCACGACGCAGTGAAGCAACATCGGGAGATACAGTCCCATGTTAGCCAGTGACCAACAATTGGTTCATACGCCATTTGTTTCTTCAGCATCCTGGAGCGAATGTGCATCATCGGTTTGGAATCAGGTTTTCCCAACTTCGCGAGATGGACCCTCTATGTCCAGTAACCCGGTCAAAGCCTCAGACAATCGCATTTTGTGAAAAACAGTAATGCCTCGAGAAGGCAGTGCGTGGGACTTCTCTTAGAGTTATGGTACACGCATGGCCATGTGAGAACAAATCGAGGGCGAGAGAGAGCGGACTATATAATAAATAATCTTGTCCGAATACAGGTTTATGGTATTTCATCACTTTATGGATAAAATTATTGTTAAACTAAGTGGCAACTAGTATAACTGGTAACCACAATCCTTTTTCCTTCGATAAAATAAGGTTTAGTCATAAAGTATAAATATATTTATAAGCAAAGATGGATAATGGCTAGTAAAGGGATTTAGGACGCGCGTCACTTAGTCCTATTTGGGACTCGTCAGCCGAATGTACTTGAATCTCAAAGTTGATGTTCACTAGTTTATAATGCCTGTGGATTAAGGCTATATCGAGGCAATAGGCATAGTATGCACATATGCCAATAAGAGACTGATCAACTGCAGTCCTAAACATCACTGAGAAGATTCGAGTAAATAATACCAAGTGAGCGGCCTATGCTCCTTCACGAGGAGTAACAAGCGTAAGTAAGTAAGTAAGAATTTATAAACATATTTATTATATCTAGAAGCTTAGATTCTTAATAGATCGCGTATAATTTGGGCACTCGAACGTTATAACCCTCCATGTCACAAATAAGACGAAAGAAGAAAACTGGAGCAGGTGCTTGTTTGCCAAATATCAAAATGTACAGAAAACTATGGGTATTTATAAATATTGGCGTTTATTATATCAAAATTATAATTCAACCAATCCTCGAAGAGGCATGTAATGCCATATTAATATTCCATTACGTTCTGATTGGATTGAACTCTGGTTCCTCTCAGACCTCTGGAGCCATCCCAACAATATTCATACTTAGCGATTAGTAATAATACTAATAATATTGGTTACAGAGTACCATAATATATGGCTTACTTTTTCAAGATATACTTTACGCTTTTGTTTATATGCTTTCATCCCTTTAGAGAGTACATCATGTACATCGTCTGGATCCTTCTTCTCATTCAATGGCTATTGTAATATACAATAATCAAAATAATTTGAAAATTATCAAAATCAATAGATGTATTTTTAGGTATCATTCAGTGTAAAGGTTATTGTGTTAGATTTTACACGAAAATGTTATCTAATCATAAAACCAGGAGATACAATTCAAAGAGCTAAGTATGGTACTATTGATCTTATGAGATATAAGTAGTATATATCTGTTGGGGATGTTAGATCCCCAGAACTCACTTGGGAAAAGACCTAGTTTTGTAATTTTATTTAGAAAATTTGAATTTCTTTGTTTTCACGCCAAAGACGCTCTTGTCACCTTTGTGTCGTATTTCCCGCTGGGAAGTATCTTAAATACTATTGGTCCGTTGCGTCCTTTAGTATGCTATTTGGTAACTCTTCCCAAGGACGGTTTTTGCAGTGTATATATGCGTTTTGAATTGTGTTTGTTGTTATCGCTCATTTCTGGCTGTTTACAGAATATACTTTCCCATTCCGAACTTGGAGTTCTCTCTCTAGTTAACGGGGCTGGGACGCATCAATAGTTAGCTTACTGGTCTTTGGTCATCGAGTCTTGTTTCTAGTTCGCAGATTAAGTGAACTCGTGATAGCTTCAAACTTAGCAATATCATCAATCAAAAGTGAAATGTTTGGAAACAGAAGGTTAAAAAGATCAAGTTTAAGATAATTGATTGATATTTTGCAAATGAAGTTACTAAGATGTTCTACAAATTTATATTCAAGTACATTTGATTACTCCCATTTGTCTTTTCAATCGCTACAATTCAGTAATATGTACATGATTTCTCTGAAGATAGAATCTAATATATTCAAATCTTGACGTGAACATGATCCTTTTAAATCATTAAACTGAAATTCATGAGTTCAAGTTTAAGGAATTCGATAGTTTGTACAAAAGATAAGAAACCAATTACATCACAACAATCAAGTCAAATACTAGATGACAAATCAGAATAAGAAGTAATCAGACTATGATCGGGAAAGGATCAGTGATAACCAATCAAGATCAAGACTAACAGTACAAGCTGTCTGTTTAACGTTGATAAATTTGGATTGTGTTTTTTAATGATAATGATGATGATCAGAAGGACGATGAAAGTTTTGTGATTTGAATAACCAATTCCGAGAAGAAACCTTCACTGAAACGAATTTCTAGATATTGGATGAGTTTAAGTAAGAGGAGCATATCTACAATTGAAGAACATCTGGAACTCAAGAGAACTCTCTGTCAACCAACACCAAAGTCAGGATTTTCAATACAAATGTCAAAACAGTTCTACTGTGTGGGGTCTAGCTTAAATTGACTAATGATCTCAACTACTAAAATTACTATAATATCCACAAAATGCCCCTTCTGATATTAATCAACATATGCTCATTAGTGACGCTCTCCAAGAGATATTTTCTGGAGTTCTAGTGTGAATCAATGACCAGTAGTGACCAGTAGAGTTCAACCGGGTCTGCTGTGAGATAGTAACTCACTGAAGACAACGGTGAACGGTGGCTTAATTTTGTGGATTGGTTTAAGTTAAACATTAACACCGTTGGATACGGGCCAGCTCACTTGTCTAGTGATTAAGTGCCCACATGAGAGACTGCCAAGTCCCGGGTTCGAATCTCGTGAGGCGAGGTCGTAGATGCGCATTGCTGTGGAGTCTCATACTAGAATGAAATGGCTGTCCATTGGTTCCAGGTTTTTCATAGTGGTCTAACATCAATCGGTTCATGATCTCAATCAAAAAAGAAATATCATAGATCTATTATATAATTCACTTACATCAAATATTTCATCAGGAATTTGTTTTGCAAATGTCGGTATAATAATATTTTGAAAACCTGGTATTTGCTTTTGTCTTAATTGAATTAAACGTATCCGTTTAGATTTATCTAAATCATCATCCGTACAAAAATCAAAACATTCCGTTAAGAAGTTTAATTGAAAATAATTAACTCCACTAGCTCTTGTATGATATAATACTTCTGGATAAGATGTCATCTGTAATTGATGATTTGGTAAAAGATGAGTTCCTGTTGCAGTCTATAAGAAAAAAAAGGAAAAAGCATCATGTATATTACTGAATATTTTAGGAGTGTGGCATCAGCTACTTATATTCATATAAGTAGTATATAATAACGATAGTCAAGAATAGAATGTATTTGAATAGGAGAACGTAGAGGAAAGAACAGAAACGGAAAGCAATTGGTATGAAAATGCATGAACAATGAAATCTGAGACGATGGACTGATATTTGCAAAAAAAACAGTCAAGTTTGAGACAATTGATTGACATTCTACACATTAAGTATTCACTGTATGGTTCTTAGATTTTAGTGAGATGTTCTGTAATTGTGTTCAAATGTATTCGGTTGCCCTACTCGTGTGCTTGTTCATTACAGTAGAATAATGCTGATTAGAAAGTTCTGATAACAATAAACCATATATATTGTGGTTAACAGCAATGTGCAAACCAGCTATCGGGTGAAGAGGAAATTAGGAATAGATGTTGGAACATATATTATGGAAATCATTAAACTGCATTAAACGTGGCAAGCACTAAATTGGAAGCGGAGAAGACGAAGGTCAAAGAACACATTACATTGAGAAATAGAGACAGATCTGGAAAGGATGAATAACAACTGGAAAGAAGAAGAAAGGATTACCCAGGACAGGGTTGGGGGAGAGTGCTTGTGGGCACAGTTGATTGATCACTGGGTCGTGAACAATGTCATGTGTGTCAAGTCCTTCTTAGTGCAGATAGAATGCTTGTGGGCAGCCTACGCTCCTCCACGAGGAGTACCAGGCGAAAGTAAGTAACGATAACGTCATCGCTGTTACTTAAGTGTGTTTTCATGTAACACTTTCAGTCATGTTTCTATATATTTGACGGGTGAGTACAGAATAATACTTGATTATGGACTTAATTTTAGGCTAAAACGTTTATTACGTTTGTGTTTTCTGTCCTTGCAGTTGAATTTATTCATTTCAGATAGTCATTGATAAGTTTAACTAGTTACAGTGATATTTTAAAATGATATTTGAACTTAATATGCGACAAATCTGCATGAGAAAATAATAAATGTCATTGGAATGCACGTGCATCCAATTGATGCACCCTAAAATCTTATGTCTTCAGATCTAAGGGAATTCACAAACGTTCACTATTAATCGAAAAACTCTACTCTCCCTCTGGAAATCCTCTCACATGGTCGTGCGTATACAGCCATTTCCACAGAAGTCCTACTCACTGCCTTCTCGCGGCATTACTGTTGTTTACTAAATCGAAAGGACGAAAAATGAATGTCCTGCGCTTTAACTGAGTTGGTGGACATGGATCGTTCATTTAGGGGAGTTGGAAGACCCTGATTCCAAACCAATGGTACACATGGGTTCAAGGATCCTGAGGGGACAAATGACGTATGAACCAATAACTGGTCACCGACTACCATGCAACTATATCTTCTTACGTTGCTCCACCACCATGTGGATCGACCTTTATGTCGAAGGCTTCATGTGTAGCCTTCTGAGGAAACCACATGCTCTGGTTTGGGCATCTGGGCCGTATCACAGCCCACACGTAAATCAAGTAACTTATGTGGAGCATATGTATTTAGTGCCTTCCTGTATCAGTATTTATGTGTTCAAACAAATAAATAAATAAGTACACCAATAATCGGTAAGACAACGCCTCAAAATAAAGAAATGAGTTAGAGATCTGTAGTGTCAGTTATTATGTCAAGCCCATATACCTTATTCTAGCTTTCGGACAGCCCATTCTATTCATTCTACTTGAATCACATTCTGACCTTGTTAATTAATCGGTTATCACTCTTGTCTGTTTTTATATGAGCGCGTAGGTGAGTGTACATTTCTTATCGCATTACTCATCACATGTCTGTAACTTACTTTTGTGTAACTATAATTATTGATTAACGCTTGGTTAAATGGGAGTTGGCTTACTAGCCATCTCCACTCTGCGTCGTTTCTCTTCTCTATACTCCATTCGCTTTATATACAAAATATATGTATTCACAAGTCCATTCTCGTTATTCGACTTATTTAATTCCGTTATTGACTAACGCGATTTAGGTCGATAATTATATACGAGGGTAGGCGATAACAAACATTCATACGATCTCCTTGATGTCAGATCCACGGGCTTCCACAAAAGATCAATACTTAATGCTAACTTTGTAAGTTTAGACAGATTGAAACAATGAAGTGTAGATATTCAATGAATCATGTTATTTAATATTTCACTTTTCCTTCGAGTTTCACATATATATGTATATTCCCTGATCAACTAGATAGGCCATTATAGTCCCTTTAACGTATATCCTCATACAAATATACTATTGAATAGATACTACTGAATATTAATCAGTATAGTGTTGTATTATAGTCATGATCAATTAGGTATTTACTAAATACTGAAGCACAACATATTAGAAGCTTCATATCAAACTTGTCCTTTAACCCTTCTTAGGTCTTTAATTAAAACCTCATCAACCTCATCCCTTAATAGAATCAGAAATTAGTTTACATCATTACTGACTGATTATTGTATACAAATGAAGGTAAGTGATCATGAATTATCAGTTAGAATGATATTTATGCAGAATTAACCTATAAATTGAACTATCAGATAGATTAATATTCATGAAAAGTTGATTGGTAAGACTATCATTTATGGACGATCTTTGAGCGATGCTAAACTGACGTTGAGAGTGTTCACCTAATAACTAAGACTAATTGAAGGTTATAACTTAGTGTGAGGAATTCGAATTATGATTTACAGTTGATGATTAAAGGTTAGGAATTAGATTTAAGGATTTTCATCACGAACTAATATCAGCTATAATGCCAAGACTCTATTTAGCCAAATGGTTGAGTGAATTTTGTGCCAAAATCCGAGACTTGTTATCTTATACCTGATTGATTCGTCCATAAATTATTGTCTCGCCCATGGACCATTGGATTAAGTGCCTTATCTCTATTTCGCCATTAATTAGTTGCACTCATTGAATATCTAATATAGGATCCTACTTTATCACTCTAAGTTCCTCCTTTACAACTACAATTCTTCTTAATCCCAAGAACTTAAACATTTCCTCGAGATTGTTTAAAATGTCTATTTTAGAATCAGCATAGAGCACCAGTCATCTTTGAAACTGCAACTTTTACTGATTATCAATAAAAAACAATCTTGACAATCTTGATTGTAGTTACGTTTCTAAGCTGGTAGCAAAATAAGTTCACTTCTAATAATGTTTCACAAACATCACTATCTATTCTTCCTTACCCATACACTGTATATCCAAAAGCATTAACATACAGTATCACTTACTTGTATTAAATTTAACAATTTAGCATCCATTGTATTATTCGGATCAAGTATTGAAGTGCTATAACATGGTTTGTCATCATCTTTACTTGTATCGTTTAAGAATAATGGATTGGATTGAAATAACTGTGTTGGTTGTAAATAGGATGTAGTTGGATAAATTAATGATTGCAAGTCTGTAACATGTCTCTTCATTGATCCTTGAGGATACAGAGATCTGTTTAAAAATTCAAGTTATAAAACCTTTATAAATGATACAACTTTTTCGAATTACTTACTTACTTATGCCTGTTACTCGTCGTGAAGGAGCATAGGCCACTCAACAGCATTCTCCATCCAACCCTGACCTGGGCAATCCTTTCCAGCTCATTCCAGCTCCTATTCATCCTTTCCATATCTGCTTCTATTTCCCGACGTAATGTGTTCTTTGGCCTTCTTCTTTTCCTCTTCCCTTCAGGATTCCAAGTTAGGGCTTGCCTCGTGATGCAATTTGATGATTTGCGTAATGTATGTCCTATCCAATTCCATCGTCTTTTCCTAATTTCCTCTTCAGCTGTAAGCTGGTTTGTTCTTTCGTAGAGAAGGCTGTTGATGATGGTAACCGGTCAATGGATGTTGAGTATCTTGCGTAGAAAACCATTTATCAATACTTGTACCTTCTTGATGGTGGTTGTTGTAGTTCTCTAAGTTTCAGCACCGTGCAGTAGAACTGCCTTGACGTTCGTATTGAAGATCCTCACTTTGATATTGGTTGAAAGTTGTTTCGAGTTCCATATGTTTTTCAATTGTAGGAATGCGGCCCTTGATTTGTCAATCCTTGCCTTTACGTCTGCATCTGAACCTCCTTGTTCATCGATAATGCTTCTCAGGTATGTGAAAGATTCTATATCTTCCAGAGTTTCGCCATCAAGAGTGATTGGATTGCTGTTCTCCGCTTTGAATTTGAGGACCTTGGTTTTCCCCTTGTGTATTCTAAGGCCTGCTGCTATACTGGCTGTCTTTTTTTCGAATAGTTCAGTAGTAATATCTCAAACTGTCAATTAAATGTTTCATTGACTAAAAATTAAACCGAATAAGTCACTGAAAAGAATAATGTGTAAAATTCAACTTGAAATAGACAAGAAACGGACTTCCAAAGTTGTATTTTGCTGAACAGTAAGAAGAATCTAATGCATTCTCTATCTATGAGAGTTAAAATAATTAAAACAGAGGATATAGTTGACGATGAATGAAATTCAATCAGAAAAACACCTATGAATTTTGGCTTCCCTCCCAGATTCATTGATAGCATTCGGGAACGAAAGTAATAAGTTGAAACACTCTAACAGTACCAAAAAAGCTTTGTTGACTGGAACGTTGAATTCAAAGAGGATATGAATGCAGAGATCCCAAAAACACTGATTATTGAAATCGTTGAGAAAGATATTCTATTCAACTCTAGGAGATATTTGACCACATAATGTTTTAACAAAGCTCTAAACTTTGAGTCACCTCAAAATGTATTTATCAGTTCGCTTATTCCTATGAAGCATGTTATCTGTGGAAAGTACAAAGTATGCTCTTTACAAATGCTAACCGAAATACAACGCAGCCTTAATATCTAAATGTGAATGTGAATCAATTCCATTGGTAAAAATTTTGAAGATGCCACAGGTATTCGGAGTTTGACAACGCTTTAACCAGTAACACCTTCTAATATGAATTGTACACACCAAGTGAAATCAAAAGACAGAAGCGAGGAGGTTCGAAGATATACTTGATAGGCTATCAATATATTGAGGATCGTCTGATCTAATCTGGCTAGCGATTGCAGGGGTTGTTGAGTACAGCGTTCCTACTCGTGATCTGGTACGGATGCATGACCGAGCACCTTCAGCTAGGTGAGTCCATTAAAACTAATGTGGTCAGCATCTAATGTCGAAAACTTACGGAGCTATTTATTTTGGGGATTTATTTACCGCTACAATTTTGGTCAATTTTAGTTATCTCTCACCGTCAGAAGTTTCATCTTAAATAATCATTTCTTTATAAATCAAACATTTACAATAACTAACCTGTCTGGATATCCAATACATGCTTCAATATCCATATCATTAATCAATGATGAATTGATAGATATCCATTTAGTTGTAGCAAATAATGTTCCAGTTATTGGTATACATACTATTTTCTCACCAGAACCATCTAAATCTTCTAACAGAATCTTTGGTTGTCTACCAACAAACGACGACGATGATGATGATGATGATGATGATAAACTAGATTGTTTTTGGTTTGATTTACTTTGATCAAGTTTAAACGATGATCCAGTTGTTACAATGAATCGTAAATGTTGTAAATCTAATTCAGATGATCTATTCATCTGTTGTATAGATGTATTTTGTATATCTGTATAATTTGGCAATCCAATATGAAATTCTGCTATTTGATGTGAGGTCCAACCATGTTTCTCAAATAACTAATCAATTGTTAAATGAAGCATTATATTCATGACAATAATGAAAAAAAAATCGTGTTATATTTTAAAGAAATAATAATATTTTTCAATAGTTGAGATCATGAGTCAATTGAAGTTAGATCACCATGGAAAACCTGCAAGCACTGAACGGCCGTTTTGTCCTATTGTGGGACTTCTCAGCAGTGCGTATCCATGATCCCAACTCGCGAGACTTGAACTGATGACCTATCAGTCTTGCATTGTAGCGTTTAACCATTAGGCCCCTGAGCTGAAGTTAGATATTAACACCACTGGATGCCGACCAGCTCAATAGTCTAGAGATCAAGCTTTCATGTGCGAGAGCGATAGATCCCGGGTTCGAATCTCACTAGGCGGGATCTTGGATGTTTACTGCCACGGAGGAGTCCCACAATAGAACGAAACAGCTGTCCAATGCTTCCAGGTTTTCTTTGGTGGTCTGGCTTCAATTAACTCATGATCTCAACTATTAAAATTACTATAATATCCACAAAAACCCCTTCTGATATTAATATTTTTATCGAAAAGTGCCACTGGTTGATTGTATTTATAATAAATGACGTCAAAGATGACAGACGGTCAACGACTGATATATTGTTGAATAGGCCTTGACTAAAATGAAGTAACCATTCAATGTACCTTGGTATGTAGTAGTTCTCCAGTTGATGTCCTTGACGAACTTTAAATCTACTGTTAAAATGATTTTACTTCCTGTCTTTTCCTGATGTCACTCAAAGAAACAAGGAAATCCGGAGAGCAATGAACAATAAAGTGGTCTCATTCTTGGAGTATCTAATAGTGAACACTCAACGCGAAGAGTCTCCAAGTTTCATATCAAACGAGCTATCTTTGATTGCTAGGTCTGTATTTTTAACAGCTGTCAATACATGATAAATCGAAGTCATTATGTAGTATAGTCTCCTAGTTCTTGACTCAATAACTATTTGTTTAACTTTATGAGTGATAATTTTGCGCTAGAACTTCGAGAATTTCTATGCATAGCCAGCCATTCAAGGGAATACGATAGCTGTTTGATCTTATCTTATTCAGACAATCATTGAAGACTGGAAATCACTTGATAGCCATTCGGTCTTCATCACAGTGCGATGTAAAACTATAGTGAAAAACCTGAGTCTATCCAACAAAGAAAACCTGCAAACATACAAGTTAGAACAAGCCAATGCTTATCAATGTAGGGTCACAATGATAACCATGTTCAAGTCTCTAGACAATAAACATAGAAGACTGGAAATGAATTGCGTGGATAAGTAACAAATCCAAGTGTTACCAGGCTGATATTATTTTACCCAACATCCAATCGGATGTAAGTAGTACATAACCTGGCATATATGTGTGTCTCTTCAAGTTGTCGTAGGATATCAACACAGTGAAATGAAATTATCAAGATATATGTCATAGTAACAGAAATCTTAATGGCATCAGTGATGTGGCTAGCAGTGGAATTTAGGACACACATTTCGTCCTACTTGGGACTTGTTAGCTGGATGAACCACAGGATTTAAGCACGTCCTGGATTCCAATGCTAGCCACATTCCACCTACTCTATATCATATAGTGTCACAATGGTTATTTTGAGGCAATCTCCACAGGATGCCTATATGCTAACCAAAATTGGTCAAATTTCAGTCAAAAATGTATTAATAATATTCCGTTTCCCTTCAGAAGTCGAAGTTAATGATTGTCTCGTGATGAAGTTTGATGATTTTCTCAATATGTATCCTATCAACCTACAACATCTTTTCCTAATATTCTCAATAGCTGGAAGCTGGTTTGTTCTCTCGCATAGTAGGTTGTTGCTGATGGTATCCGACCAGTAGACATTGAGTATCTTGTGTAGACAATTGTTGATAAAAACGTGTACTTCTTTGACGATGGTTGCAATTTTTCTCCAAATTTCAGCTTTTTAGAGTAGAACTGTCGTATTGAAGATTCTGACTTTGATGTTGGCTTACAGACATTTATTTCGAGTTCAACATGTTCTTCAATTGTAGGAATGCTGTCCTTGCTTTGTCAATCCTCCTCGTTCATCGATTATGCTTGTCCATGTACGTGGACGTTTCTACATCAGTCAGAGCTTCTCCAACAAGTATGATTGAGTTGGTGTTCTTCATGTTATATATGAGGATCTTGAGTTTTCCCTTGTATATGTTGGAACCCAATGATACGGAGGTTTCAACTACAGTAGTTTTCTTGACCTGCATTTGCTCGTGCATATAGGATAGAAAGACTAAGTCGTCTGCGAAGTCTATATCGTCTAGTTGCATCCAACATGTCTATTGTATTTCGTTCTCCTCCCATAAGTGGAGGTCTTCATAATCCGGTCAACCACCAGAAGAAATAGAAAGGATGGAGTAAGCAGTCTTGTCTGACTCCGGTCCTCGCCTGGAATGCTTCTGTCTGCTGTCCTCCATGCACAACTTTGCACTATAGTCCGTCGTATGAATTCCGGACGATGTTGACAATTTTCTCAGGTACTCCATAGTTTCAAAGAAGTCTCCATAATGTTCTCCTATCCACGATATCAACTACCTTCTCACAATCAAGAAAGTTGATATATAGTGACAAGTTCCAATTAATTACCAAGTAAAGCGAAGTCAAACTTAAAAAAATGTGGTTGTTAAGTTTGTCTTACATTGTTTCTACTCGCTCCTTTTTCACTCCTTTGTATATTGTTTTATACTACTTATTTATATTCAGTAAGCAGTTGTATTCCCAACAAGTTTTACACTTATGTTATCACGCAAGTTATAGTGTGGTATTCTGAGATGTTCACATATACTTATAACGTTTATTGTACTTATCATTGTGTTTATCATTATAATAACTGCACCTTAATCGCTATAGCCGTTATCCACAGTTTTGTGCATTTGTTTAAACGCAACACTTTCCATATTGTTTTGCTCTTGGTTCGAGTTTCAGTTGCTCATAAACTGTTATCAAATTTAGACACAGCTATCAGCTGTCCTTTGTACTGTCGTATGTTATAATTATTCTTTAGGTTAGTGTTACAGGAAGCCTTTTTATTTTCATACTTGAAGGACGCGTTTTAATGTCCCAGAGGTTTGTAACTAAATTTAGTGTATTATTTAATAAAGAACCGCTTTTGTAGACAAATAGTTGTTTTGAAAACTTCGGTTTTGCGCGTATCTCGATCGGGTGACTTGGACGCTTCGATAGACCTCACAATGGTGAACATTACATTTTCTTCATTAGCTTCAACATAATGTTAAGTCTTAGCTAATTCTAAAGAATCCATTGAATAGTTATCATGTGAGTCTAGATGTGTCATGGAAACCATTTAGTTTGTAGTTCATCACAGACTAACTTTAAAATAGATAAATAGTGTTAACAATAGGAATCATTCTTGATGAACCTATTCTGGATCAATCTAAACTAGAAATGAGCTCTCATATATATTATGAATCAACTCTAACCCTAACATAAACAGTAAATGAAAATTCATACAAAATCACAATAAGAAGAATAAGTAACAAATGGTTATAAGTAAATATTAAACTAACTTTGGCTACAATAGATTCTGGTTGATTACGTATTTGTATAGGTAGAATCCAATTGAAATTAAGTGTAAAGTTATGAGTTAATAATCTAAAAATTAAGAAAAGAATGATGTTTATGATCAGAATAGAGGTTTATGGAAATTCTAGTAATTATAGTAACTGAATTCATGAGTTGATCTATGTTAAGGCAACCGTTAGAAACGTAAAATCACTGAATGATCGTCTTATTCTAGTGTGGAACTCTTCAGCAGTACATATCTGCGATCCTACATATTCAACTCGAACCCACGAATTTTGATCTCGCGCATGAACATTTAACCTTTAGATCACTAAGGCAGCAGCGTTAATGTCTACCTCCCATCGGTACATGAATAGTTCATGAATTCAACTACTAAAAGTGTTGCTTAATCAGGTAAATATGAGTTACTCAAATGGAAATTAGTAGTATATTACATAATGTTGAAAAAATCAATTATGATAAACACGCAATCAATTGTATTACATGCAAAACTAGAAAAAATTGAATGTCAGTTATCGCTCATTTCACAATTTATTTATTATTTGTTTAAAGATGTAAAGATTGGTACATGGAGACACCAAATAGATATGAGCCACACAAAGCATTCGACTTGTGTGGGGGCTGGGATACTGTCCTCGTGCCCGAACCGAAGTAGGTGGTTTACTAAGGGAGCCAGCCACACCTAGAATCTTTGACCTATAGGTCTGATCCACAAGGCAATAGAGAAACGTCAGGTGATGCAGCCTCATGATAGTCGGTAACTAACGATTTTTTCCTTTAGGATCCTGGAGCCTATGCGCGCCACTGGTTCGGAATCCAGGCTTTCCAACTTCCCTAGTTGGATTCTCCACATCCACCAACCCAGCTTAAGAACCGGACATTCACTTTTCATCCTTTCAATTTCGTAAACAAAAGTAATGCCACGAGAAGGTAGTGAGTAGGACTTCTTTGGCAGTGGTTGTATGAACGTGGCTCTGTAAGAGCATTTCAAGAGGGAGAGCAGACTCTCTCCACTCTCGGTCGTACCAGGGCATTTGTAGGGCTAAATGAAGTGATTAGTTAAGACCTTAAGCTGTTTTATATATCATTATTTTTTGAAAATGACATGATGTTTAAAGTGAAACTGCACAGAATCTTGACTTCGTATGAAATAGATTCCATGATAAAAATAATGGGATGAGAATACTGTCCTATTTTTATATGGATTCATGTATTTATTTTTAAGTCACTTTGTATTTGAGAGATGGTAACAATACCCAACTGCCCAAATAATGGTCGGTAAAGCAGGTTGCTAAGTTAGCATCATGTGGATAGAAGTCAGATATTTTAGTGATTAAGCTACTATTCCATCAATCCTATTCACTTTATTCGAAACAAATTTTAAACCGGGTCAAATGATTAAACTGTATTTATTTAATAGTTGAGATCATGAGCCATATGAAGCTAGATCACCATGAAAAACTTGGAAGCACTGGACAGTCGTTTCATCCTATTGTGAGGCTTGTCAGCAGTGCGCATCCATAATCCTATCCTGCAAGATTCGACCTAATATGTGACTCATCAATAGCAAACAATATAGCTATTTTGTGTTTCCAGATTTTTGACGGCTTGTGATCTTATAAGTAAAATTTATCAATCATACTAATAATATGATTTTCACTAAGATTTAATTATCTTTGAATAATGAAGATAGTTGGAGACTGTTGGTCGGCGGCCTATACTCCACTGGAAGTAAAAGGCGTAGCGTAAGTAAGTAAGTAGTGAAGAAAGTTCATTTCATACGACTTTGAACATCTATAAGATCAGCCACTGATTTCAAACAAACACATCGTATACGTTAGAGGTAGTATTACTTCACTACGATATGAACTTGGTTAGTTTCAGTGTACTTATGCAAGTCATTTGCAAAATACTGTTTCATGTATTCAAATCGGAATTAAACTATGTTATTTAGAGAGGAATAGAAGTATTATGCTTAATCAAAGTAGGAGAAATAAGGATGAAATATATGATCTATTAATTTAATGCCGATTGCTTTAAGAATCATTACATTGATTGGGAATTCTCCTTTCATTAAATGGATATCAGATCATGGAATCACATATACATCTAGAAAAAAATTACCTTGAGCTCAACAAAATGTACATTTGGATACGTTAATATACAAAAGGCACCAAAATCCAACCTAAGGCCTCCATGTGGTGTTGTTGGATAGTGAGGACAACCCTGTTAGCCAAATTAGGCGGTCGCAGAGTTTGTCTGTTAACTAGTATGAAAATAGACCATACATATCAAAGGCAATTACAATCTCAAATTTCTTTACTTATTCTTTAGGTGCGATACCATTATACATGAAGAGACCCGTTGAGCCGCTGTCTCCACGAAATTTTATTCACGCGGTAGGTTTGTTAGCCTCGAAAAAAACAGAATCCATTCCCGAAGGACCATTAGATCTCTTCAGTAGGTTTCCACAATTGCTTATGGCTGGAACACTGCACCATATTTATATTACATATGCATCAAAACATGATAACATTTATATTGATTTATAAATCAAACTAATAAACAATCAATGATACATAACTTACTGTGGTTGACTAGTTTCAACTAATTTACGATTATAATACAATTTGATAAAATAAGTATATTCAAGTAATTTTAAACGACGATTAATTTCAGCTCTAAGTGGAAAAACCAAAAAGAACACGTCAAGGGACTTGAAAATGAAATATAAGTGATCTTAAAATAAATGATGAGACTATAATTTATAGACAAACCAATCAGATTTAAAGAAGCAGATCTTGAACTTTGTCATTTCACTGAATACCATTTTGACATTTTAGCTGATGTCAACTTGTGATGGAAACCTTAAATCTAGTTTTTAATCCTAATCATTAACTTTATATCATAATTCTAATTCCTCAAACTGGTTTGTAACCCTCATTTAACCCTAGCAAGTCTAAATGACTTGACATTGAGTGCATTATATTAAGATAATATGGTGATTAGAGGCAGTCAACAGGAAACTTTGAACCTAAATTTCGTACTACTTGGCATTTTTCAACAAGATGTATCTATAATCTTGAGGAAACTGATGCTCTCTGACGGATTCAATCTTGTCTCACCCAGTTTCACAGTCAGAGACGTTACCACAGGTACACCTTGCTAACGAGTGTCAAATAGTGCGAAACCGAGGTCCAAAGTTTCCTGTTGACTGCCCCTTACCAACATCTTATCTAAATATAGTGCACTCAATGTCGAGTCACTTAGACTAGTGACCACAGTACAACTTGGTTGATAGGATTCTATTCGCACTAAGAAGGACCTTATATACATGACATTGATCATCATCCAGTGATCAATCAATTGTAAATTTATCTATGTAAACTAATAATCAATCTAATTATTAATGAACTATTTATTTTATTTAAACACATAAACATTGGTACAATGAGGCATCAAATAGATATGAGTCGCATTAATCGTTCGGTTGTATGAGGGCTGGGATACTGCCCAGGTGCCCAAACCGAAACAGGTGGTTTTCTTAGGTGGCAAAACTCGGAGCCTTTGATCTAAAGATCTGATCCACAAGGCAATGGAATAATATGAGGAGATGCAGTCCTATGATAGCCGGTGACCAACGAATGATTCATACGTCATTTGTTCCTTCAGGATACTGGAGCCTATGTGTGTGTGCTAAGACTGAAACAAACGATATAGCATCTTGATCCTACACGATATACAATTCCGATTTTATATACTCTTTATCTTAAAAAACTGTTAATCATCTAGTATTTGATCTAATATACTACCCATAAACATAATCATCATAAGAATAAGATTACAATTTAGAATCAAAAGGCAAATATTAACAAAGAGTTCTATTATACCTTGAACATTCATTGTTTGATGATATTGTTGAATCATCAACTAAACTAACTGTAATTTTTGGTTCATTTGGTAAACGTCTAAATTTTCTTAAATTCATTTCTGTTTCATCTCGAATCACTTGAGCATTAAATGATTTTGGTATAATTGGTGGATTTTTTCTGGTTTTCTGTGCTAAACATTGTGTATCTTCACGTTCAAGTTCAGCATTATCCTATGTATATAATGAAAAGATTAAGAATAATAATAATAATAATAATAAACAATCTTTATAGATTATACAAAATGTGATTCCTTTTACTTCATTCCAAAATTGTTTCAATGATATACTGATGAAATTTCACCGATTGAAATCATGAGTCAATTTGAAGCTAGACCATCATGGAAAACCTGGAAGCACTGGATGGCAGTTTCATCCTAGTATGGGACTCCTCAGCAGTGCGCATTCACAATCCCGCACCGCGCGAGCTTCAATTGACTCATGATTTCAATCTGTGAAATTTCTAAAATCTCCACAAACCCCTTCTGATAATAATCATCTGCTCACAAAAGGCTGATTTCAAGAGATACATCTGGAGCTCTAGTGAGAAGCCATGACCAGTGGAGCTCAACCAGGTTTGTTATGAAATATCAGCTCACTGAAGACAATAGTGACGGTGGTGCAATTTCGTGGATTCGTTAAGGTTAGACATTAACACCGTCGGATGCCGGCTCAGTGGTCCGGATAGTTGAGCGCCTCACGCGAGGCTGGTAGGCCCTGGTTTCGAATCTCGCGGGGTGCGGAATCGTGGGTGCGCACTGCTGAGGAGTCCCATACTAGGACGGAACGGCCGTCCAGTGCTCCCAGGTTCTCCATGGTGGTCTTACTTCAATTGACCCATGACTTTAATCAGTGACATTCAATTATCCCTACTTGTATTCTCGTTGATTACACGTAAAGTATAATATTACCTCCCAATCACCGTCTATCTGGCCTGATTCACGTAAGCGTTGTCTTCTAAGAGCAGCATCCTGTAATAGTAAATTGTAAAACAATGTTATTAACATATTATCTACCTAGTTGACTGAAAATGATCGCCTAAGGTAGAAAGAAGTATCATTTATGAAAGATATTAGTCAAAAGTTAATTTCATTTGAGGTACCAACGATGATCATGATATATTTCATAACTGTTTCATTTTATTTAAGAGAAGTTTTATTCCTTTAGTTGGATGGTTCGGCTGTGAACCTTTCATTAGCATAAACTTCAGATAGAAGTAAAGTGTTTGAATTTCTCTATGTTTGACTTACATTAAAATACTGCTTATTATATAATATAATATACCCTTGTGGGTCAGGGTAATTCTACATTGATTTTCAGGAGGACCAGATACCATCCAGATTTGAATTTTGTAACTCAAGCAGTACAGCTCAATCCCGCTTCACAGAAGAACCAGACACTGTATGGGCTTTAACGTTACAATCTGAGTAGTACAGCTCAATCATGTGGCGCAACCACACAGGTACCAAGACTGTTTAGTAATATGTATAAACGACCCTATGAAGGATTACAACCAAGGATAACTACATTATCTTACATATCAATTAATAGATTACAAAATATCAACGGTAAAGTAGAATGATCTTGTGAAACACGCGAAAGATTCCAAAGTTCCGCTTAAATCTCTTCAAGAAGTATAATGAATAGGGACAGTTTGACTGGAAAGTGTTTTACTAATGACTCACTAGAAGTTTACTACCGATGAAATCATTTCAAAACTTAAACAAACTAAATAAGAATATCATCGTTTCATAAAATCTGTTTTGAATTGAAATATACAAACTCTGCTTGAGCATCTGGGCTACCTGTTCCTGTCATCTAGATATTTCAACAAGTTATCTATTTTTGTTTGTTTTAATATATCATTATGTTTATTAATCGCATAACCTATTCAGGTGCGTTTCTGAAAAGTGTACAACCTTTCGTTGTCAAAGTTACAAACAACTCAATAAGAGACAATGTGGTTGCTGGCAATATACAACCAAAAGAATGCACATTATTCAATCGATCACTCAATATTTATCGCCAGGACCGACGAAGAAGAAAGAAACGGAAACTTGTTGAAATACTTTACGCTGAGAATTCTATATTGTACCAAAATATAATGATGATTATGTTTAACTGTCTCCGTAAGTTTTGTCGATCTTCAATAGTTCAGTGACTGATGAAATCTGGTCTAAGATACGTAAAATTTGTTCCTCCTTTACTAACATGCTCTAACTCGGCTTGAAATAAAATTTTAGTCTGCCTGTCATGTAGTAATACTACTGTACAACAACTAGCTTTGTATTACTCTATATCTGGGATATATGGCCTATGAAAGTAGAAGACATACGTAAGGTAGAGAGTACTCTATGACAAATCTCTCCGAATTACCTACCATATATAACAGTAATAGTGTTAAAATAAATTCCAGGGCTTTAGATATAAAATATAAAAATGATATATGAAAGTATACTCATTCATCATTTCAAATGCCTTGGAAATGTATTACCAATAGTCAACCACCGCATACCATGGGATCTAACAGTGACCATTTAATTAGTTAGTTGGTATACGGTCAAGGATAGTCAGAAAAAATCTTGGGAATAATTCATGAAATCATCATTTGCCAGTTCGGATAGTATCAGTTTCGTAAACTTTATGGTATTATTAATGGTATTACTGATGAACAAAAGTAGAAACTCCCCGATAGTATAATTCAAAATCGATCAATGTGGATAGAATGTATGGATTTTCTGCCTTTACCCATTTAAATCTTGAATTTCAAATAAATTTCTGTATATTATAAGCAAAGATGGTTAGTGGCTAACAGTGGAATCCAGGATGAGCGTTTCGTCCTATTTGAGACTCGTCAGCTAGATGTACCTACATATCAGAGTTGATGTTCACTCTGGGACTCGAACCCAGTACTGCACAGAATGCACATATGCCAATAATAGACTGATCATTTGCAGTGCTTATTTATTTATTTGTTTATTTAAACATATAAACATTGGTATAAAGAGACACCAAATAGATATGCGCCACACAAAGCATTCGACTTGTGTGAGGGATGGGATACTGTCCTGGTGCCCAAACCGAAGTAGGTGGTTTCCCTAGGGAGCCACACCTAGAACGATTGACCTAAAGATCTGATCCACAAGGCAGTGGATCAACGTCATGTGATACAGTCCCATGATAGTCAGTGACTAATAATTGGTTCATACGCCATTTTTTCCTTCAGGATCCTGGAGCTCATGTACACTATTGGTTTGGAATCAGGGTTTTCCAACTTCCCTAGGTGGTCCCTTTTTGTCCACCGACCGGGCTAAAGTGCCGGACATTCAATTTTCGTCATGTCGACTTCATAAACAACATTCCCACCTCAAGAAGGCATTGAGTAGGACTTCTTTGACAGTGGTTGTATGCATGTGGCTATGTGAGAGTATTTCGAGTGGGAGATCGGACTCTCTTCAGTCTCGGCCGTGCCAGGGCATTTGAGGGCCATTGCGATCCTAAACATCAATGGAAAGATTCAAGTAAACAATACAAACACAACTAACCTGTTGTTTTTTCTCTTTTTTGTATATTGCTAATTCTTCTTCATATTTTTTTTGTTCTATTTTAAATTGTACATCATATTCATGTTTTGCTTCATTGACAATATCATCTAATTCTTGATTCCAATCTGCTTGATCTTGTTCTACATTTGTTATTTGTCTAAATTGATCAATGAAAGATCATTCAACATTTAAAATATTTATATAGGCTCTTGTATATACTACTTATAGTTTTACACTTATCCAGGAATAGTTCATGTTGTAATGTTATGAAGAACCTTGATTATTGATAGGATTTCAATATCATTCAAATTATCCATATTGATTACTTTCTGTAATATAAATTATCCATTAGATCTACATTTTCCCCCCTTTTCTATTTTTTGGTAGAACTAGATGTTAAGTATATTAGAATTTATGCATACAAATAAAATCTCCACAACCCTATACTGATAATTACCATGTGTTGAGTAGTGACTAACTTAGTGAGGAAATTCTTGGATTTCTAGTGAGAAGCCGTGACTAATGGAGCTAATCCGTGTCGGGTACAAACAGGTATCTACTTCAGTACAACGGAAGATGGTCGTGCGACTTCGTGGATTGGTTGAGGTTAGACATTAACACTGTTGGATGCCAACCAGATAAGTGGTTTAGAGGTTGTGCGTTCGCACGTGAGACTGAGGGTCCGGGCTCTGAATCCCGAGAACGAGATCGTGGATGAGCGCTTCCGAAAAGTCTTACAATAGGACAAAACGTCCGTCCACTGCTACATCAGTAACAACTGAGCAGTACACAACAGGCGATATGTTTTGAAACTATTTAAAAAAGTCAAAACCTAGTGTATTACTTTAGCTACACGAAAAACTGAAGAAACTCATTTCCAATCCGTCTCGGTTAAGAATGGGAACTTCAATAGCGTTATCAAAAGATGTCTAACTAACCAACATACTATAAAAAAAAGGATCTCAGAAATCAGGAAAAACATTTCCCCATAATATTTGAGAAATATCTCAGAAACCAACACAAGGATCTTGGAGCTCGTTGTCATCAACACAATCTACGAACCAACACAGTCGCTTCATGCCAGAAAATTTCCAAAAGCATATGAGTCAGATGATCAGCAACAATCAATTCATTCATGATAATGAATCTTTTAAAAGTCAGAACATAATTGCTTACTTAGTGATTTTTAATCGAACAGTAGTATTTGTACAACCACTAGTTTGTCTTGCTTCTTTAACACGTTTCCATGCACGAAGAGCTGAAGTTAATAATCCTTTTTCATAGGCTTCAGCATGATTTCTTGCACGACGCATTAAACTACAAAATATAAATGATAAACAAAAGAAAATTAGTTTGTAAAAACAAATTTCCCTTAATGCTTTCTTACTTTAAGTCTTGATATCAAAAGGGGAGAATCGACAAAAGTTTGGTAGCATAAGAAGGCTGACATTTCTCAATTACGAACATGTCTAAACAGTTAGATGGCGGTTGGAGGTAGACGATAGAAACCCTAGACCCGGGTTTCGTGCTACTTGGCACTCGTCAGCAAGATGGACCCGTAATGTTGAGGGAACTGGTGCTCCCCGGCGGATTCGATCTCGCGTCACCCAGATTCACAGTCAGAGACGCTACCACTGAGCTATCCGAGCCGTGACTAACGTCCTGTAGGACTGAGATGTAATCACAATTGATTGACCACTGGGTGGTGATCAATGTCATGCTTGTCTAGTCCTTGTTAGTGCATATCGAATGCTATCGATCATATGTCGAGTCACCTAAACTGGTGGCCACATTGCAACATGATCGATAGCATTCGATCTGCACTAATAAGGACTAGACAAGCATGACATTGATCACCACCTAGTGATCAATCAATTGTGATACGTAACAGGTGTCTCAGCCATCTCAACTGATGAAGTTTCACTACTTCATCAATTGATTTTCCATCCTTACCTAGTACCCGTTTTCTAACAACTGCATTACTTACTCGGTGGTCCCAGGATATACGAGCAATACTTCGAAGACACCTATGGTCGAATACTAGTAACCTACAAATATCCTCTACTCTTACCGGCCATGTTTTACTTCCACAAAGTAGGACGGAATGAACTGCTGAGCAGTAAAGTACCACAAAGAACTTTTCTCTAAAATTACAAACCAGTTACCAGTGTGTGTGAGAGAGAGGGAGATTTGTCGTATTGGATATGAAAGTCATTCGGTATATATATATTTGGATGAAGTTTCTCATGAGACTTTAAAAAGTAAATTATTTTCTTGGTTGAATTCATGAATTGATTAAAGCTAGACCACAACGTGAAACCTGGAAGCACTAAACTGTCGTTTTGTCCTAGTATGCGACTCCACAATCTCACACGTGTGATTCGAATCCAAGACGTTCGGTTTTGAGTGCGGATGCTTAACCTTTACACCGCTGAACTGGTATCCAACGGTGTTAATGTCTAAATTCAATCAATCCGCGAATTTTCGGTATAAAAGGTACAACAGAAAATATACATAAAATAATAGAAAATCATATAGATTTACCTAATTTCATGATAATAATCTTCAATACGATAATCCATCTCTAACAATTCATCTTGACTTAAAATACTCTGAAGAGTTTAAAGAAATAATGAAGATATACAGTTAATTAAACAAAGATTGAACATAATCAATAGATTTCACTTCAATGTCAACAAACAACTAATCAACATTCTTATCTTCTGTGTTATGTAATTTGTATCTTTGTCCTGGTTTCTGTGTTTGTCTGTTTCTCTTTGAACTCTACATCATTGAAGATTGGATTGAGTCATGTAGGTAGATGTAGACTATTTGACTACGGTTTATGTGATTATCTCAATCAATAGTTAGATAGTTTGAATGGTATGACTGTAAATCATGTACAGTAGTGCATGTGTATTTACTTTTTTGTCTTCCCTTGGGTCCTAAGTTTCCAAATTCATCCTAAAATGTTTACTAAGTAATTTACATTTTCTCGAATTGTATTTTGGATGCCTGATGATTCCAATTGCTAATAATGTTGGTACTACATCTACTACTCTACCAATCGCCCTGACAATTTCATCTCACTGTGTTAATGAAGTATGTCAACTTGAACCAATGTAGATATGTCCTAGGTTTTACATCACTTTTGACTGACCGACTAACTCCTTGACTGACTAGAGTATAATGACACTTTGTTCATAATAAAGCCATTAATTGTAACTCTATTTCACTTATAGCTGATAAGAATCTTCAAAATTTTAAATGAATTCATTGTATCCTGTAAATCTCACTGCGTTTGCTTTGCTTAAATTTATCAAGAGATTAGGTTGTGTGAAAGATCTGATACAAATTAATAAAATTTATATCAATAAGGTCTATATGAAGTTGACGTTTATACTTTTGTGTAGAGCAGAGTTAAATGATAGTTATCAGTATAGGGTTGTGGAGATTATTAAGTTTTTGATTGAGATCATAAATCGATTGATGTTAGACCACCATTGAAAACCTGGAAGCACAGGACGATCATTTAGTCCCATTGTGGGACTCCTCGGCAGCGCGCATTCACAATCCTGCTCTGGGGATTTGAACCCAAGGCCTTCGGTTTCGCGCGCGAACACTTAACCTCTAGTGGTGATCAATCATAAATGATAGTTATTAGGCGAGACTATAATTTATGGACGAACCAATCAGTTATGAGATAATAGATCTCGGAGTTTGGTGCAAAATTCGCTTATCCGTTTGGTGAAAAAGAGTTTCAGCATTGTAGCTGATGTGAGTTCGTGATGAAAACTCTAAATCTATTTCCTTACCTTAACCATCAACTGTGAATCATAATCCTAATTCCTCACACAGGTTTATAACACACTCATAATTAGTCTAGCATCAGTCAAACGTCATCCATAAATTATAGTCTCACCCATTTGGATGTTTTAACTGTATATTAATTAGTCTTTTGATCGAACCTAACTTCCTCCTTAGACAACAGTACTAGTGTAAACATTTACACCTCTAACATCATTCAATTGTATATTCCAATAAAGGTGAATTAATATATTTCAGAAAAACAAAACTTACTGCATTATTATTTCGTTTTTCTTCAAGTTTTTTCAATGCTCGTTTCAAGGCGTTAATCTAAAAAGTAGATAGTGAGCTGTAACTGAGATAATGATAATGATAATGTGGTGTGTGCTACTGATATCGACAAATACAAGTATTATGTGTCATCAATTGAGAGTGAAGTGACTGGTGGCAGAAGGTTAAGAAGATCAAAGAGAAGAAAACGAGAACAGATAATGATTAGTGTGGGAATGAAGAAACAATCAAGTCTGAGACAATTGATAGACATCTATGCAAATGAAGCATGTATTATATGATTCACTTGGTATTGTTTTACTTGAATCTATCCATTGATGTTTTGGACTGAAATTGATCAGTCTCTTATTGGCATATATGCATACTGTACGTATTGCCTCGACATTGCCTTAATTTACAAGAATTATAATCAAAGATGGAATAGTGGCTAGCAGTGGAGTCCAGGATGCGCGTTTTGTCCTATATGGAACTCATCAGTTAGATGTACCTGCATCTCAGAGTTGATGTTCATTACACAAGCAAGTGGCTATCAGGACTCAGTAACTGAGTGGATAACGTGATGGCGTTTGAAGCGAACATTACTGGGTTCGAGTCCCAGAGTGAGCATCAACAAGTCTGAAATGTGGATACATCTGGCTGACGAGTCCTAAATAGGACGAAACGCGCATCCTGGATTCCACTGCTAGCCACTATTCCATCTGTGCTTACTTATTGTATTCAACAGAAAACTATGTACATCATTTTCAAGATTAGAATGCATTTATCAGTAAAATGTATCAATATAGACTTTGAATCTATATTCTCTAATCCCACTCACATAGAAACAATCACAGAGTTATTCAATACGTAACTAGTATTTACTAAGTCTAAGAGATTTCAATAACTGATCACTTAACCAATGTTATAAATAAATTCTATTGATCTAATTTTAAATTGATCACTAACCATAGTGGATTCAAGATCACAGTGTATTTTATTTAAGTGATATGGTTGGAATAAGATCATCAATGAAATCAAATGCTCTCAAATCAATATATTATTTAATTGCTGTCAATCTCTGAATACATTCCAGTGGAAAAGTGTTTAACATGATCACGGTGTTACAAGTTATATACACAATTTAGTCTAACTAGAAGGTAACTAATGTAGATGTTTCCAATAACAACAAAACGATATCTGAAATTATGATTTTTGAATGACATGAGATTGTCTTACATGAATTATGACACTTACTTTTCGTAACTATTTTACTTTAATCTAAAGTATTTCAGAAAGAGATTTTGTGGATATTATAATAATTTCAATAGTTGAGATCATGAGTCAACTGAAGCTAGACTACCATGGAGAATCTGAAAGCACTAGATGGCCGTTTCGTTCGACTGTGGGACTCCTCAGTAGCACGTACCCACAACCCTGCCTCCTGTGGGACTCGAACCGAGGACCTACTGACTTCGCACGCGAGCGCTTAACCATTAGACCACTGAGCCAGTCGGCATCCAATGGTGTCAATGTCTAACTTCAACTAATCCATGAAATTGAGCGACACATCCACCATTATCATCAGTGAGTTACTATCTCACAACAAACACGGTTGAACTCCACTGGTCACTGCTTCTCACTAGAACCCCACGATATACCTCTTGAATCCGGTCACTAGTGAGCATATGTTGAATAATATCAGAAGGGGTTTTTGTGGATATTATAGTGATTTTAATAGTTGAGATCATGAGACGATTGAAGTTAGACCACCACAGAAAACTTAGAAGCATCCAGGTTTTCCATGGTGGTTTATCTTCAATGGACTCATGATCTCAACTACTAAAGTATTTGATTAGATTTATCGGAATCTAATTTTTATGTTCAAATGAAATTTAGATACAAACATCGTCTATTGAAAATTTCGCTGCCTTTATTAAACTTCCTAACAAGTGAGCCATATGTTGATAATCAACTGTTATATTTTTGAGGATTATAATAGAGACGATTTGATTAGTAGCTTAAGAAGCTGGTGTTTGTACTGAAAAGTATCATAATTAATTGTATCTATGAGTAAATAATTATCTCGTATAGATATCATTCACTTTTAGCTAAATCAAGTAACTATATGTGATCTATGTAAGTGAAGATGAATTTTGATGGTTAATTTACTGGTTCATTGAATTCCAGTGTTAATTCGTTGGCCAATCGCATCATTTATCGTGAGCAGATTTTTAGATTTTTATTATTTGTACTTAACTACTTATTTACATTAAAACGTAGTATTTATTATTAAAGTAAATTTTGGTTGTTCGGAAAAAAAATTAGTTCCAGTTGAGGATAATATTCTTTAAATATCATATACGACTTATCGGATATTCCATATTATCCAGAGCTTAAGCGAAACTATGTTTAATTTTATATAAGAAATCGGTCCAGTGATTGATACAGTTGTACTTCGATAGTCAGTATGATATACATAAAAAAACAACTGTACAGATTAAGCGCTTATTATATTAAGTACAATAAATACCATGATATATTCGAAATGTATGTTCCATAGAAAAAAACCTAAACATTAAAGTACTATTTAAATGAAATACTCTAACAATAACTTTGTAGTTGGCAGTGAAGCGTTAACCAGGAGAAATGTACACTCTAAAGATATTACATGATATTTTGATTATATTACGAACAAGGATTAGGGCCAAAAACAATAGTAAAATTTTAACTTAAACAACTTAACCCGTTAGTTCAAAAGCTTTGAACTTTTGAGTTCACTTCTAAGTGACAGTATGGATGAGGACTGATGACATGTCACATACTAGCACGAAATAGGTATTTGTAGTTTGAAGTCCTTCTTGAGTGCTGTTAGAGGTATGAGGGCGGTTATCACTGCCCGGTTGCCTACATCATGGAAGTGTTCTTCTGGAGGTACCTGAGTAAGAAGTTGGTTTAGGGGTGATCATAGTGACCTGAGAGCGTGACCGCAGTGCCTAAGGGACAACTGACAGAGGTCGGTCACACGCAACCTTTTTGTGAGTAGTTTCCGCGTTAGCTACGTACTTGTTGAGACCTTACCGCCAGAGATGGATATTCGTGGGATAAGGCGAGGTATACATTTTTAGGTTCGACCTTTTCTAGCCCCACCCCTACTTGTGAGAAGGCAGCATCGCTGTTATGCTGTTTGTCTAAAGGAAACACCTTACTGCCATCACAATTCTGTACAACCAACAGTACGACTTCTCCCTCGAATCTTGGATTTGTTACTTTTATTCTTACCGCTCTTCAACCGACCTGTCTGACATGGTAGGACCAGCCAGTATAGCTCGATTGATTTATCACCATAGACAAGCCCAACCGTCAAATCAAGGTAGCAGCAACGATTGTGTTTAAATCATTATCTTCACGAAAATCAACTTGTGATATAAACTATCTATCGAAATGAAACAAATAACAATCATTGAACTTACTCGTTGAATACATGCATTCACTTGATCTCTAGATAATGTTAATTCATATGCTTGAATAATTTGACGTAAATTTTGTACATGAACATGTTCTAAACTAAATAATGGATGAAAATCAAATGTAACACGTCGAATATCCACATGTAAACGATATTCAGTATTCCCGTTATTATTATTGAATAAACCAATATGTTTACATTGTGTTAAATTGGTTGACAGATTTTGTGATGTTAAACCTTTTGATTCCATATTGAAAAGATTTTGTGTCATTTCAAATGACATTGGCTTTAAAAAAGCAAAAACAAATAAATGTTATAAATAATGATTTAAGTTGGGTTTTTTGTTGTTGTTGTTGTTGTTGATTAAAATCAAAGTTAATTATATAATCAAAGATGGATAGTGGTTAGAAGTGAGATCGAGGACGTGCGCCATTTCGTCCTGTTTGGGACTTGTCAGCTGTATGTATCTGAAACTCGAAGTTGATGTTCATGTTCGGACTCGAACACAGTACTATTCGCTTAAAACTCCATCACGTTATCCACTAACCTACTGAATAATGATAGTCGCTTGCTTGTGAAATGGGGTGAAGTTAACATTCATTCGGTGTTATTTTACTTGTATCTTCCTATTGTTATTTAGGACTGTAATTTATCAGTCTCTTATTGGCATATATGCATACTGTGCGTATTGCCTCGATATTGCCTTAATTCACAAGAATTATAATCAAAGATGGATAGTGGCTAGCAATGGAATCCAGGACGCGTATTTCGTCCTATTTGGGACTCATCAGCTAGATGTACCTACATCTCAGAGTTGGTGTCCACTCTGAGACTCGTTTGCTTCAAACGTCACCACGTCATCCACTTAGCTACTGAATCCTGATAACTACCTGCTTGTACAATGGGGTGAATTTAAAGTTAATTATAGTAATATGATTAATATAACAGTTTAGATCTCAGACTGTTCAATACTTCTTGGTTTTCAAAGGTTTGTAATAATTCCAACCAACTACTTTATTATATGTCTACTCACTGTAAATTTACATGTGAGTCTGCTTAAGCGCATATCTGCACATCAATCCCCCATTGCTTTTAACATACAGACAATCAATAATTTATCCACAATCGATTAACACTTATAATTATATATATGGATATTAAACACTCACACATACATACGCACTCCTTTCCCAGTGTGCCTGCTTCCTGTATTCTTGTGGATTTAATTAACCTTTAACAATAAACTATTTCTGTAACTGGTTTTCAGGCTTCTGAACAATTCTATAGCTGTCTAAGCAAAAATCTGATGGCCAGACACTATCAGCAACAACCTACTGTAGAAGAGAACAAACCGGATCCCATGTGAGGAAGAAATCAGGAAGGAACGCTAGAAGTGGATAGAACACACATTGAGGAAAACACCCAACTTCGTCATAAAGCAAGCCCTCACTTAAAAACCTCAATGCCAAAGGAGGAGAGAAAGACCAAAGAACACATTACACCGAAAAATGGAGACAAACATTAGTAGAATGAACAACCATTGAATAGAATTAGAAAAAAAGACCCAGTAGAGAGTGGGTTGAAGAATGATGCTGGTCGGTGGCCTATGCTCCATTGGGAGTAACTGGCATAAGTAAGTAATTAAGTAACTAGGAGATTTAACCTGTGTTAAATAGTCAGTTAATGGGATACTATTATTATTGGAGTCAGATAAAGAAGAAACCAACTAATCTACAAGGTTGATGAATCACATTTAGAACATGCACCATTTACCTACAGTTCCCTTATTAAGATCAGTCTATGATATTAGTAATTAAACTAATTAATTAATAATAATAACAGTATATACACTTACATGTACATAAACTGTTTGTAATTTTTCAGGCATTGGATTAAATTGTTCATCCCATAAAGGTGGTCTTGATGGGATATTTCGTAAAGGATTCGGTTGTAAATCAAGTGAACCATCTTCTCGAAACCATGACTAAAAATTATAAGAAAATAAGATACATAGGGATAAACATGATGCAAGTTAGATATATGTTAAACAATATACATTTTTAAAAGTAAAGATTAGTAACTTAATAGTTGAATTCATGAATCAATTAAAGCTAGATCACTATGGAAAACTTGGAAGCACTGGACGGTCGTTTCATCCAAGTATGAGACTCCTCCGTGGCAGTGTGCATTCACAATCGTGCCTTGCGAGATTTGAACCAAGGATCTATCGGTATCGCGCAAGGACGCTGGATGCGCACTGCTGAAAAGTCTCATACTAAGATTAAACGACTGTTCAATGCTTTCAGGTTTTTGATAATGATCTAGCTTTAATTGAAAATGATTGGAGATAAAATATATACAACATTGAATATGGATTAATTGTTTAAATGAAATAGGTTTGCCATGAAAAATGAGGTCAGATTCCATTTACTTTTATAGAAACATACTACTAAAATAGAATAGGTTGTACAGGATTCGCTAATCAGTAGTATTCATGTGGCTAGTTTCTCTATATAATGAAAATAATTTTGTTTAAATTGAGATCATGAACCGATCGATGTTAGACCACCATTGGAAACCTGTAAGCATTCGACGGCTGTTTCGTCCTATTGTGCGACTCCTTCGTGGCAGTGCGTATCCACGATCCCGCTCGCGGGATTAGAACTCGGGTCCTTCAGTGTCGCATGCGAACGCTTAACCTACTGGACCACTGAGCCGGCATCCAATGGTGTTAGTGTCTAACATCGAACAATCCACGAAATTGCGCGACGAAACGGCCGTCCAGTGCTCCCAGATTTCCAATGGTGGTCTAACACCAATCGGTTCATGATCTAAATTTTAAAAAAATTTATTAATCTCCACAATCCCTATATTGATAAAATAATTTTCATAAATATCTCAACTGAACAATAATAATCTCAATGGTTAAGATCATGAGTCAGTTGAAGCTAGACCACCATGGAAAGCCTAAAAGCACTGGACGACCGTTTCGTCTTATTGTGGGACTCCTCAGCAGTGCGCATCCACGACCTCGCCCTCCCTGCGAGATTCGAACCCTGCACCTACTGGTTTCGCGCGCGAGCACTTAGCCACTAGACCACTGAGCCGGCATCCAACAGCATCCAACTGACTCATGATCTTAACCATTGAAATTACTATAATATCCACAAAACCCATCTGATATTGAACAATAATCAATTAATTACCTGAATTCTCAATCGTTTTTTATGTTCTAACTCTTGATCTTGTAAAGTTCCATTAATTAATTGAATATCAGCTGAATGAAAATCATTTAAAGATTTTAATCCATATACATCCATTTGAATTTCTTTTAAAATACGATTTTCTAAACGACGTAGATTGGTTGGAGCTACATATGGTTGTTTACCAATATAATAACCTTCATCTTCCAAATATCGTGGTAATTTACCGCCAGTTTTCAATTCAATAGGAACTTGAATAAAATACAATAGTTTAATCATTCATAAATTAGATCTTAAGCATTTTGAACGATGATATAAGCTTTAATAAATAATTGATCATATTATGATCAGCATCCAACAGTAGAATTTATAACAAGGATTTTTCTACTTTTGGACTTATCTTTTTGACCAAAACCTGGTGCTATACGAAGGTAATCCTCAAGAAAGTTGGAAACAATGGGTACTTACGTCATCTATGGTGAAGGTGAGATATCCGTCTATCAATAAAAGGACAAGTATACTGCGCGGCAGTTCGTTCTGTTCTACTTTACGACTAATAAACATGGCCATTAAGAGTTAAACATACTCGTAAACTACTAATATTTGACCACAGATGTCTTAAAAATCTTGCTCACATCTACTGATATCACCGCGTAAGTAATGGTGAGGTTAGACGCGGGTATTAGGTAATGATGTTGGTTGGGATCCGCGTGACTGTTGTAACCAATGGTTGGAGACTGTCTGTGAGATTGCTCAGAATCGATCACAATGGCGTCGGTGTATACACTCTCTGTCTTCCCTTAAACTGAGAGATTAAAATCGCTTCATATCTTTCATTCTACGAACTATTTCTTTCTTCCTGTATTATATCCTTATTGAAATCTTTCTTTTATATATTACCACCATTGACCTAACTACTCCTATGAATCCGGTGTTGATCTTGCTGTGCTACTGGGGTATGGCAACTTGGACCGACGCATATATGTGCTGACTGACTGGCTGTATCCGGCAGTCAAACTCTAAAGAGTAGGATGACATATATATCCTGAGTTTCATTTCTACTTGGGCTTGACTTTTTAGTCAGTCAGTCATTCATCATCTGAACAGAGTCTGTCTCAAATTTCTCTAGGCCTAAGTCACCGTACCACATTAGTACAAAATAAAATTAACAAGACATATAACAAAAGAAAAAGAATAAACGTCAAGAAAATGGTTGGAAAAGGAAGTGAAAAGATATGTATGAAGGAATATTGACATTTAAGATGGCAAGATAGATAAATTAGTGAGTCTATCTGCGCCATACCGGTGGACTTTGAGTTACATCACCTAACATATCCAACCATTAATCATAGTTGTCTTGTGGACCGCAACTAGGTAGTCTGAATCTACCGACATGGCTTAGACCAACAGTTAATCACTTCATGAATCTATTAAACATTAGTAATTTAATTATAAAGCTTTTATTGTCTTTCTTGACACCACCATTAGAGGCTAATTCACGTAGACGTAAGCTCTTATAATTATTACATAGTTATAGTCTACTGATTACATTTTAGTAATTTGTTAATCATCAAAAATGACAGAGTCTGCAATAGATTTTTCCCCAGAGAATGCACAGTTCAGTAGAATGTTATGAAATAGGGAATCCTCAGAGTTCTAGTGAAAAGCCGTGATCAGAAGAGCTCATCCGTGTTGGGTAGAGGCAAGTATCTACTTCAGTACAATAGAGGATGGTTGCGCGATTTCGTGGATTGGTTGAAGTTAGACATTAACATCGTTAGATACCGGTATAGAGGTTAAGAGTACGCGCGTGCGACCAAAGGTCCCGAGTTCGAATCCCTCGAACGGGACTGTGGATGCGTACTGCTGAGGAGCTTCATAGTAGAACGAAACAACCGTCTAGTACTTCCAGGTTTTCTAATGATGATCTAACATCAATCGATTCATGATCTCGATCAAAAACTGAATAATCTCCACAACCCCATACTGATAGTTATGAAGTAGGTTCAACTTAGACGTCATCCATTTATGAGTACTAAAAATTCATTCATAGTGCTTTTTTCTAACTTAACCATTATTGAACTGTGATTGGAACATTATTAAATCAAATTAGAAATATTTTTAACTAATCAAAAACTATAATGAGTAAAAGGATTTGATACTTTGTTCTGATTAATTCAAAGATAGAATTAACTATCCTAATAAGATTGTTCTGACCATGTATCAAAAGGAATCAAATCACTAGATTGGGATATCTCAGAGGAACGAACAAAATACCCGTGATATATAGGTTTTCACACCAAGTCGACAATTCTTGGAGCTTGTTGCCCGAAGTAGTGCTGTCTGCACCTTCAATTGACTCACTCAACGAAAGACTAGATACTCATAGAAGCATACTAGAAAAGGAATAACATAGGTCATAGGCCTTCTGTCCTTATTACACAAATCTGAAATCTGAATCTGAAGTGAACAACATTTTCATCACATTGAATTATAGGCTATATGAGTTGATTCTTAATTCAACTGTACACATTCTACTGTTAACTGAGTCTGCATCTGATATATAAGCTTCCTATATGTGTCCGCCTGGAGCCCCCCTGGGGCTACTGCCGGTCATAAGCCTGGATAACGAAGAAGGGTTGGGTATGGAGTTAGCGACCTCATTCCGTACAAAACTAACTCGCTAAAAAACGCTAACCATAAAACATAATTCAAATCACTTAAACTGTGCCCTGGGTGTTAGGTCATCATTTAGAAGAGTTATGACGCCTCATGATGAAAGCCGAGTTCCTTCGGAAGTCACGAGGCTGATGTCACTTCTGACAACCAGATCAACCATTAATTTAGGTACATGGGATGCTCGTACAATGTGAGAGACAAGGAGAGTCATGTGTATGTACAACCTGCTACATTAGTGTGAATACTAAGAGTGATTAGAAGATATTTACTGATTATTCCAAACAGAAAATATAAATACATATCTCAACCATTGACATAGTTACAAGCCCCTCAGGAATTTAAGCTTTCTTTTCAGCCAATAGTGTATGTCTTTTTCTTTAAAAAGTTAGATTAAATCTTAACCAATATCATGAGCTCGTCAACAACTCTCATATATCTAGCATATATATCATTGATCCAGCTTATCATTAACCATATCCAATAAATTACTAACTAGAAAGCTTGTTTACAATTTGATTATATAAATTTCTATCTCATTCACAATTTTCTTCGAATCCCTCTATCGGGATCGTAGGTGCGCACTGCTGACGAGTCCTACAATAGGATGTGATTGAACGGCTGTCCAGTGCTTCCATAATGATCTAACATCAATTGGCTCATCTCCACAACCTTTACACAGATAAAAATAAACATTCTATATTACCTTCTATATCAGTTGGATTATATAGAAATTTTGATTCATATTTAATTCTTTCTTGATTAGATAAATATGATGACCGTCCAAATACTAAAAGATCATATTTTGTTCTTTCAGCAATTCCTAGAAGTGGTTGATTTTCTTGATTTATCTAAATGAAATATTTGATCAATATAAAAATGATATTAAATGAAGAAAAAAGAAACATATGCTTATTAGTGACTGGCTTCAAGAGGTATATCCTGGAGTTCTAGTGAGAAACAGTGACCAGTAGAGTTCAACCGGGTCAGTTGTGAGATAGTAACTCACTGATGACAATGGTGGATATGTGGCTCAATTTCGTGGATTAGTTGAAGTTCGACATTAACACCTTTGGTTAAGAGCCTGGCGCGAGACTGATAGGTCCTGGGTTCGAATCCCGCGATGTAGGTCCGTAGTTGCGCAATTCTGAGGAGTCCCACAATAGGACGAAACGGCCTTCTAGTACCTCCAGGTTTTCCATGGTGGTCTAGCTTCAATTGACTCATGATCTCAACTGTTGAAATATGAAAACACTAAATGATGTAACGGTAAAAGGTAATCTGTTTGAATATCTGAGCTAATTGTCCTTTTCCTCCCCACTCCTCCTCTATCATCTAAATATTTCAATAAGTTATCCATATTGTTTATTTGGATTCACATATCATTAGGCCTATTAATCACAATAACCTATTCAAGTGCACATTTGTGATAAGTGTACAACTTTTCACTGTACAAGTTACCAAAAGGCTTAATCAGAGATATAAAGGTAACTGGACTGTTAACTTCTAACTGGCAACCACTCAGTATTTATTATCAGGATCGACCAAGAAGTAAGAAATGGAAACTCGTTGAAAAACTTTGTGCTGACAATTCTATATTGTACTAAACATGTAGTATTAAATAAAGCCACTAATAATAATAATCATCATCATAAACAAAGTAAGCTATTTAAAATACAGTCTGGAGTTAAACTCCAGTCTTAAATTGTGTATGTTTAATGGATTGTTAGATCAAATGATAATGTTGTCGATAGGCTCTTAACTTTAGTGGGCCGAGATCTGACTTCAATTAGATCATATGTTTGATTGTTATTAAGATATACATATCGTCAATCCTCATATAAAATTATTGAATTAAGTTGCATTAGTGTGAATAACAGAATTGAAATAAGTTGAATACAAGAAAGAATTTCAAATACATATACTTCATACAATCAATAATCTAGACAAATGATCGGCGGAACGAAGCAAAAAGAAGGAAGCAGAAATGAAATGACACGCAATAAAGAAGGTATATAAGCCAACTCGATTTGATCAAGCGTTCATCGATATTTATAATCAAATAAAAATAAGTTATAAACGTGTAATGAATAAGATTAAGAGTGTACACACATATATACGCTCATATAACAAAACAGTCAAGGTTGGCAAGTGAATAATTAGTATCAGAAGGGATTTTCCGGAGATGGTAGTAATTTCAATAGTTCAGATCATGAATCAATTGAAACTAGATCACCATGGAAGACTTAGAAGTACTGGACGACCGTTTCGTCCCATTATCAGACTCCTCAACAATGAAAAACTAAGAAAATCAAAAAGTAGCTTGACCTGTCCAGAAGGTAGAATAAGGTGTATGGGCATAACATAGTAACTGACATTACAATTTATGAACCAATCATTACCTCAGTTAAATTATCTTCCATATTTGATTGTGTTCTCTTTGAAAATCTTTTATGATGTTTATCTTTTAAGAATTTCGATTGTAATTCATCCATTGTTAAATTATGTGATTCTGTTATTGAATTCAAATCATAAGTAGTATGTTTTTGTTTAGTATTATCATACCATTCTTTTGTGAAAAATTCATCATTATTTATTTCATTACAATTTTCATTTCCTTTTAAATCACTTAAACTTAACTATGTGCAAACAGAAAAAAGTAGAAAAAACCAATGATTAAATAAACAAAATGATGTTATATGTATGCATGTATGTATGTAATTTTGTTCGTTGAGCTGGATGGTTTGGTCGTGGAACTTTCATAGTTCTACCGAATGATATCATCAGTACAAATTTCAGGTAGAAGTAAAGTTTGTGCTAATGATATCATTCAGAAGAACGATGAAAGTACCATGACCAAATCACCTAGCTCAGAGAACAAAACTCGGTGAATTTATAATTTATGGACGACCTTTGAGTGATGTTAGACTGACCTTAAGAGTGTTCACTTAATAATCAGGACCTCATGAGGGTTATCAACCTGTGTGAAGAATTACAAAACTCTATCTAACCAAATGGATGAGTGAATTTCTTACCAAAATCCGACACATGTTATCTTAAATCTGATTGGTTCATCCACAAATTATAGTCTCGCCGTCTGCTTCACATATCGGCTAACGCTGATTGGATAAAAAAATAGCCAATCAGCGTGTAATGATACAATCATGCATGGAATATACTTTAATCCAATGTATGTTCCGCTAATAACTCCTGTAAATAATGTAATGTTAAATCATACTTCGTTGTAAGATTTACTATAACAGTCGGAAATCTTACAGCTTGGGACTAGTAATAACTCAGGCAGAGTTACACTATGACGGTGGATATATACAATTTCTTAATTATTTATCCTGATTAGTAAAGAATACATGATAATCAGATATTAACAGTTATGTTTGATACATGTTTTCTTTAGTTCAATCTGCTCGACCTTTTTTTGACAGGTATTCTACTTCTGATCGGTGTTACATACTACTTATCTTTGTCGACAGACATAAGTAGCATACATCACACATGTATTCCTAAGCATAGTTTTCATAGTAAACTATGTAAGATAACAACCACTAAAAACTACTGAACAAACAACATCTATTTAAACCTAAGATCTCATATATGATCGATTACAAGGTCTTGATATCTCACAATATGTACAATAGCATTCAACCACTAAGTTGAGATATAATACCTGAATTTGTAAACCATCTATTAACTATGTTCCATTATCCCTATTCAAAATCAACAGATGAAAAATAATTTCTTTAAAGTTTTGTTTAATTATTCTGTCATATGCCTAAAAACTCAAAAAAAATAGAATTCGAAAGTCTACTACTTCAGTTTGGAACTAACAAAAATCATACGGAACGTTTACCGCTATGGTATTCTTGTGATGTGAGCTATTTATATCCACACAAGTATTATATAACAATGGTCAGGAAAGAATGTATTTCAGTAGAAGATTGAGAAGGAAAGAACAAAAACGGAAAGCAATTGATATGAAATTGCACGAGCAATGAAATTGTAGACGATGGACCGGTGTTTAAAACAGGAACAGTCAAGTTTGAGACAATTGATTACGATTTAGCAAATTAAGTATTTACTGTATGGTTCTCAGATTTTAATAATCTAGTCACAATTGACGGAAAAGATTTGGAAGATGTAAATACCTTTACATATCTGGGCAGCATCATTGATGAACACGGTGGATCTGATGCAGATGTGAATGCGTGGATCGGCAAACAAGAGCAACTAATCTACTATTGTAGAATATCTGGAACTCAAAACAGCAGTCTGTCAGTCAACACCAAGGTCAGAATTTTCAAAAAACTGTCAAGGCAGTTCTAATGGATGGAGCGGAAACTTGGAGAACTACGAAAGCCATCATCCAGAAGATACAGGTGTTTATTAACAGTTGTCTACGCAAAACACTTCAGATCGGTTGACCAGACACTATCAGTAACAATCAACTATGGGAGAGAACAAACCAGATTCCAGGTGAGGAAGAAATCAGGAAGAATTGCTGGAAGTGGATAGGATACACAATGAGGAAAGCACCCAACTGCATCACAAGGCAAGTCCTCACATGTGATCCTGAAGGCCAAAGGAGAAGAGGAAGAGCAAAGATCACAGTAGGCCGAAAAATGGAGATAGATATGATAAAAATGAACAAGAATTGGATGAAATTATAAAAGAAAGGCCCAGTAGAGGGTGGGTTGGAGAATACTGGTCGGCGGCCTATGCTCCATTTGGAGTAACAGGCGTAAGTAAGTAAGTAAGTCTCGGATTTTAATGAGATATTCTGTAATTTCGTGTACAAATACATTCGATTGCACCTACTTTTGTTCTTGTCCACTATATTCTTAGTATTACATCAAAGCAATCTTAAACAGAGCAAGGCAACTATATTTATGAAATTGATCTTAGTTACTTCATTATATATGAAATCTATGAACTTAAGAAAGAAAAAGAATTGATAAAACATTTACCTACATCAGGACTTGTTGACAATTCACCTAATCCTGTACTTTTACGTAACCGTTGCATTCTCTCAGGTAATGGATAATATAATTTTGATTTAGAAAATTGTTTTGACTGTTCATATTTCATTGGTGATGAAGTTGAAATTGATTGATTGTCTTTTTGAACAACTGGATCTTTCTAAATTCACAAGTATATGATATGAATTATATAAATCTAATGGAGTTTAATTCAGTTTGAATTGTAGACTGATAGTAGCTAAAAAGGTATGAAAATTTAAAGTTTACTGAACTTTTCAACAGTCTATACACAGCCACATACTTGAATGAAGCTACAGTCTTCATTGCTTGTACTGAGCCAGTCAGAGTCAGAAGGTCTTCATTTAGAAGAGTGATGAAGCCTCATAATGAAAGCCGAGTTCCTTCGGGAGTCACGAGGCTGATGTCCATTCTGACAACTAGATCAACCATTAATGTAGGTACATGGGATGCTCATACGTTGTGAGAGACTGGGAGAGTCATCAAAGTTGATGCAGAAATGAGGAGATACAACCTAGAGGTACTTAGAATCAGTGAAACACATTGAATGCGAGTTGGACAACAACGACTAGCTTCAAAGAAGTTGGTGCTATACTCCGGCCATGAAGAAGAAAATGCTCCACATACACAAGGAGTTGCATTGATGCTGTCTAAACAAACACAAAATGCACTTACAGGATGGGAATCTCATGGATCAAGGATCATCCAAGCCTCCTTAAAAACAAAGAAAGAGGGCATTTCAATGAACGTCATCTGATGTTATACGCCCATCAACGACTACAATGAAGACGCTAAAGATCAATTCTACAATAGGCTACAGTCAATCGTCGAAAAGTGCCCAACAAAGGACCTGACCATTCTGATGGGAGACTTCAATGCCAAGGTTGTAATGGACAACACTGGATATGAAGACATCATAGGATGACACGGACTTGGAGAAAGGAACGAAAATGGTGAGAGATTTGCAAACGTGGTCGGCGGCCTATGCTTGATTGGAAGTAACAGGCATAAGGCAAGGCAAGACACTTTTATCTTGATACTTTCAACAAAACTTGAATTTAAAGATTATCGATAACTAAAGTTCATAAATTTGGTTATCATCTTAGTAAATCAATATCTTTTTGTATTTTAGATGATAGATAATCCCTTTGATAAAATTCAATTGACTCATGATATGAACCATTGAAATTACTTTAATATCCACAAAACCCCTTCTGACATTAATCAATATACCCTCACTAGTGACTGGATTCAAGAGATATTTTCTGAATTTCTAGTGAGAAACAGTGACCAGTGGAGTTCAACCGGATCAGTTGTGAGACAGTAACTCACTGATGACAATGGTGAATGTATCGCTCAATTTCGTGGATCAGTTGAAGTTAGATATTAGCACCGTTAGACGCCGGTTCAACGGTTTAGTGGCTAAGCGCTCGCTTGTGAGACTGACAGGCCCTGGGTTTGAATTTCGTGAAGCGAGACCGTGTATGCGCACTGCTGAGGAGTCCCACAGTGGGATGAAAAGGCCGTCCAATGCTTTCAAGTTTTCCATGATGGTCTAGCATCGACTGACTCATAATTTTAACTATTAAAAATTTAATATGTTTATATGTAGAATAGTAATTACACTAAAAATAATTTATTAGTCCATAAAACATAAAATGCATAGACTACTTTAGGGTCTAGAACATCAGAAGTTCACCAACTTACATAGATGATATGATAGTATTTTTCAGTAGTTCAATTAATATTATAAACAGTGTTATAAACAGTGCTATTAATTAGTAGAAAAGTTGAATGGAAAGGATTGAAGATGCCACAGGTATTCGGAGTTTGACAACGCTTTAACCAGTAACACCTTCTAATATGAATCGTACCCACCAAGTGAAATCAAAAGACAGAAGCCAAAAGGTTCGAAAATATATTTGATAGGCTACCAATATATCGAGGATCATCTGATCTAATCTGACTAGCGATTGCAGGGGTTGTTGAGCACGGCGTTTCCACTCGTGATCTGGTGAGGATGTATGATCGAGCGCCTTTAGCTAGGTGAGTCCAATAAAACTAATGTGGTCAGCATCTAATGTCGAAAACTTACGCAGCTATTTATTTTGGGGATTTATTTACCGCTACAGGATAAAGATTAAAGATTTGAATCTTGAATAGCTTCAATCTTAAAACGTATGAACTTATGGATAACAATAGTATGTGTAAATTAGTAAAAATCTCAATCAAAGAGTTATGTATGTTTTAACTTAAAAGTATTTGTTAAATCAAAAGTTATTGGATATGTAACACAATAATGTGATAGATTTTCGGAACCGTTAAAGTTTCAGTCATCAGAATAGATAAATAATGACTTACAATCTCTTCTTCCACTAAACTTCTTCTTTTATCAATGGAACGTTGTTTTATTTCAACCGGAGGGACTGTTTTAAATGGATCAAACAAAAGATAAATAAATAAATGATGTTGTTTTTAACAGTGTTTCACTGTGTAATGATAACTGTGGAGAATATAGCTAAGATCTATTTCTTAATGGATAACTACTTACTAAATGAAACTTCAAGATGTACAAAGACAAATACATAGTGATTACATACTGACAAATCTTTAATTCTATTGTTTGTTACTGAATAATCCAATAAGTGATATAATTATCACTTGGATCTGTATTGTTGGTTGCTATGTTAAACGCATACAGCTTATTTCACTGGTTGAAATCATGAATCAATTGAAGCTAGACCACCATGGAAAACCAGTGCTTTCAGGTTTTCCATGGTGGTCTAGCTTCAATTGACTCATGATTTCAACCAGTGAAATTTCTAAAATCTCCACAAAACCCATTCTGATAATAATCACCTGCTCACTAGTGAGTGACTTCAGGAGATACTCCTGGGGTTCTAGTGAGAAGCAATGACCAGTAGGGTTCAACCGGGTCTGTTGTGAAATAGAAACTCACTGAAGACAATGGTGGATGTGTCGCTCAATTTTGTGGACTATTTGAAGTTAGATATTAACACCGTTGGATGCCGGCTCACTGGTTTAGTTGGTTAAGCGCCTGGTGCGAGACTGATAGGTCCTGGGTTCGAATCTCGCGGGGGGCGGGATTGTGGATGCGCACTGCTGAAGAGTCCCCTACTAGGAAGGAACGGCCGTCCAGTGCTTCTAGGTTTCCCATGGTGGTCTAGCTTCAATTAACTCATGATTTCAATCAGTGAAATTTCTAAAATCTCCACAAAACTCATTCGCATACAGCTTATTTTAGATTTTGAAAAGATTAGTTTATTGATTCTTCTGAATTCACATTTTGACCTTGTTAATTATTCGCTTATCAACTCTGAGTGTTACTATGTAAGTGTATGTGCGTGCCTTTCTTATCCTATTCATTATATGTCTGTAATTTATTTCTAAATTGAGTTGGATCACATGCCTTCTCAGCCGTGCGTCATTTTGCTCCGCCCTCTTATGTTTCCTTCATCATTCTGATTATCTTTCCAGATCAACGAGTGTACAAAATATATGTATTTGAAAATCTGTTATCGTATTTGACTTATTTAATTTTGTTATTCACTAACACGATTCAGGTGGATGATTGTATACGAAGATTGGTGACATGTATATTTCGACAGCAATCAGTCATTTAATTGGAGTCAGACCAAGGGCCACAAATGATTATCGTAATTAACTAGTTAAAACGCTTTAAATTTGTTGTTTATCTTGACAGCATTAAGTGACGTTTGTTCAAATTTTTAACAAAAGATTATTATTTTTCATATTAAATCAGATATGTCTAGTTAATATACGTTAAAACTAAGTTAATAAACGCTTCTTTGTGACTAGCTATGAGGTGAATGAATTTTTAATACCAAACCTCAATAGATATCTATTCCAATTTGAAGCCATATTTCAAAGTTCATTTATAAAACTGTATTATATTAACCGGATTAGTTATTTCGCTATAGTATAGTAACAAGTAAATAATATCAAGGTTTAATAGAAATATAGTTCACTCTGTTCGACTCTACATTTATCTGGAAGGTTTCTTAATATTCGATGAAATATACACATGAGATTTATTTGTCTTAATGAAATTGTTTTATAGGTACTTTCTTACTCACTTACTTAATTACTTACTCCTGTTACTCCTCGCGGAGGAGCATAGACCGCCCACCAACACTCACCATCCAACTCTGTCCTGGGCAATCCTTTCCAGTTAACAAGTTAATCTAACCTAGACCACTGTTGAAAACCTAGAGCCACAGTACGGCCAATTCGTCCTAGTATGGAACTCCTCAGACATGCGCACACAGAACTTCTCACGCAGAAATCGAACCCAGGGCCTTTGGTCTCGCGCGCAAACGCTTGATCTCTGGACTGCTGAGCCAGCATCCAGCGGTGTTAACGCTTAACTTCGACCAATCCACGATCTTGCTCAACCCTTCAGCCATCGCCTGCTGCGAACTTTCATCTCACATCCGACATGGATTGGACTCCATTATGAGACAGTTATACACCCCAGACAATGGATGATGAGTCGTGCAAGATCATAGGTTGACGGTAGTTAAACATTAACACAGTTAGGTGCTGGCTCAGTGGTCTAGTGGATAAGCGTTCGCACGTGAAACAGGAGGTCATAGGTTCGAGCCCCACGTGCAGGGCTGTGGGTGTACACTGATGAGGAGTTCCGTATTAGGATGGAACGACAGCCCAGTGCTCAAGTCTTCACTGATGGTCTAGCTTATATTGGCTCGTGAATCTAACGTTGAAAATAGCAAAAACATTTTTCTCTATATGAATTTAAGCGTTCTATTTCTATTTTCCATGGCTTCAGTTTAAGACTATAAGGGGTGGCTTAGGGGCCATTTTGACCGTCCATATGTAGCATTTGTGCGACACAATGATTGCTTTATGTTTAATTACCCGCTGATTACGAATTCCAAATATAATACGTCTATTGGTGCTCATCTAGTTCTACTTGCTGTAAATCAAACTATTTCGGGAATTCCCAGTTAGTACATTAATTAAAATACTTCTAATCATCAAACTATATCCAAAATCTAGATGTTTAACCATCGTTCAAGTAAAATTTCCCATTTTGACATTTGATGAAAGGAACAAATAGGGAGGAGAAATTTCTATACAAGTAGTTTATCATCATTATTCATGTACAGAGTTATGATGAAAAGCTGACTGAAAAGCTATTTCTTTTCTCTGCTCGATATTTTTAACCTTTACTGTCAACGACATCTGGGTAAACAATTAGGCTGAGACAAACAGGAATCTTATGGGGACACATTGTGAGGTAGATACTACTAGTGTGTTGAAACAATTTATGATTTCGAGTACTAAGCAAATCAGTGCTGTTCGAAAGCAGTAAAGTATAGAAATGGTAAATTTACATCAAATTGGTAGGTTGTATTTTACTGCTCATACCTCTCACAACCTCACTTAACTTGTGCAGTTCTTGTCATTAGTTGTAATACGTGATTAAATTTGTCATGTTTATTTCCTTGTACACTTTAAAATGTTACAGTAATTACTAGCCACATAATACACATGCTTCATAACACGTACTTTTTTTTCTTGGGCAGACCTGACATCCTCATTTTTGTGACAAACCCATTATACACTTTTACAGCTGTTGTAAGTAAACGCCATCCCAGTCGATTATCAGTCATGCCATTTAGGCATGTGAAATATTTGTAGCTCAAATAGGTGATTGTTTCTAACAACCTCGTATAGTGACCGCAGAGTTACTTCAAGATCTCTTTTAACAGTGATAGCTCACCATTTTCAAGTAGAAATTAATATAGGTGTGGTGAACAGATGATTAGTTTGCTATACAGCTAAATATTTTATTTTATGCTTAGATTATTGTGACATCATATCATATCATTCTGCACACTAAAAAAGTAAGTTCATATTTGTATCACCAAATTTTGAAACTAGTTGGGATTGTTAGTAATTCGTTATACTATTACAAGTTCATTATAACTTTTTGATCATTATTTTTCATATCATAACCCGTTTTTACATACATTCATTTTTGCTGGCATTTTCGGCATTTTCGTAGGTAAATCTTAAACCCGAGACAATAGCGAGCTAAATCAATCGTTTTATTTCTGATGTATGAGAATGTAGAAGAATGGATATATATGTACAGATATATAGTGACCCTAGATTTGACTCCATTTGTATCGTATGAATGATTGCTATCGAAACATACCCGTCACTAATTCTCATATATAATCATCAAATTAAGTCGCGTTAGGGAACAAAGGAATTAAATAAGTCAGATACGAGAATGAAGTTTGAATGCGTATATTTCCTACAATCGTTGATCAGGACAGACACTCAAAGTGACAGAGAGAACGGAGCAAGAAGAAGAAAGAGAAGCAAAACTAGATGACGCGCGATGGAGAAAATATATGAGCCAAGGGTGAATCGATATTTATAGTGGGTATATTATGACTAAGATACGTAATGCACACATATGCTTACATAAAAAAAACCAAAGTTGATAAGCGAATGATTAAGAAGATCAAAGCGTGAATCAAGAAGGAAGAACAAACCAATCTATCTGAAAGCTAGAATAAGCTGTATGGCCTTAACATAGCAGTCGATACTACAGATCTATCCTAACCCTAGATTCAAAACATTGATCAGATAAGAAGCAACTCACTTGCCTCCGTAAACTACGGAAAGTCAAAAACCCACGAAATGCAATTTATATATACTTCAGAAAAATTAACTGACCACTCTTAATACTTTCAGTAGCCATATCGCTTGAACGAATAGTTATAAGTTTCTTTGAAGTCTTCTTTCTTTTTTTCGCGACAGGAGGCTTCAGAAATGTTGGTTCATCATTATTTGGTTGATTCACGGCTAATTTTGTTCCTTCACCTTCAATAGAATCAAAAAGCTTAAAATAAGTATATAAGATATAAAAAAATTTAAGTACAAACCTGACGAGACTTAGGCTTATGTTTTGTTCTATGGCTTGATTCAGGTACAACCACCTCCTCGTGATCAGAATGAGAAAAATGCTTGTTAATAAGTATTTGAAGACGTCGATAGTTACCTGCCCTTTTTTAGCTAGTTCATCCATCAGTGATTTTGAAGACCTATTTAAATAAGTGCCGAAGTTACGTAAACTGACAACTGGGACCTTGAAAATTATAAACAAACGGTTTGAATACCTGAAATCATAATATGATCGAACTAAATAAACAGTGTATTTTTCCAAGGTTCTATGTATCTGGCTAAGCTACTACTCTGCAGATGCAAGTGATTCACTGTGTGTTTTGACTTTTGTGAACAATTGGAGGTACAATATGCTTCAAATGGTTGTGGACGGAATAGAGGAAGCTCTCGCTTAACAGGCTTCCGTGTCTAGTAGCAGGGGATCACCAAAACCTCCAGGCAGGAACTTAGGTAGGAAATTGGTAAATCATAGTATGATACTATCCTTAGACCTTAAGAATAGATCAAGTTGCCTCTTAAAGGACTGCTGAGAAGTCGCTTGGACTAGTGCAGTCGGCAGCCAATTCCAGCATTCGACAACTCGTAAGGAGTAGAAGTTGTATTTACAGTCCGTTCTGCTATGTTGTGTCTCCAATTTCTGGGTTTTACCCCTTAGGTTTGTATTGGGACTAAGCTTAAGTAGGTGTTTAAGAGGATGTCCAGAAGTGTTAAGGATACTGTGAGCCATCTAAAAGTCACCTCTAAGACGCTTACACTCCAATGGGTAAAGGTTAAGTGAATGTAGGCGCTCTTCATAAGGTTTAAATTTGAGTCCCCGAACTGATTTCGTGACTCGCCGTTGGATACGCTCCAGAGTGTCCTTATCCTTTTGGAGTGAGGGAGGAAATACTATATCTCCGTACTCTAAGTGGGGACGGATAAAACCGTTGAAGATTATATGGAAAGTCCAACCGTCAAAATGGCCAAAAATGCGCTTCAATGTTACCAGTGCAAGGTTTGCTCAGAAGGCATTTTTGTCACAGCGTAAGACTTTAGATCGTAGGGCACCAGGACTCCCAAACTTTAGAATTTGTGCTCCGGAATTATTAAACTATTTGTCTTTCGGGACCTGGGATCAGGTTTAGGAATTTTTCAGAGAAAAAGTATAACTACTGTGAAGTTTTTTTCCAGAACCGATGAGTGAAGCAAGTTAAATATTAAAAGTAGGATTGATCGTGCCGTTTCAACCCAAATGATTATTGTCAGTACCTGCAGAACTTCAGTGAGCATCCAGATATATTTCTGGGACAAAAATTCTTGGTACTATGATAATGAAATCCATAGATTGGTAATTATAACTACGAAGAAGTTTCCAGGGTTTTTGTTGCATTATAGAACAGAGGGCAATTTGTTGCCCCCCTCAACTCATCTGAACCAACGTAAGAGAAAAGCATACATCGAGGATCAACTGCCGGTTGTCTTCAAATTGTGATAATCTCTTCCTCTACTAATCTTTCTTTATGTAAAAGGGCTTGTACGTGTTACCTGTAGACCGAAATAAAATGCTAATCAGTCGAGAGTGCCTTTGGACGCTTGCAAAAGTGTTCACGTTAATTCGGTCACGCGAATTCTGTGAGATGGTTAGGATAACAAAGTTGAACTGATCTTTTATATCTTCATTCACTTACTCATATCCAAACACCTATAGGGTCAAGGCTGTCACATTATAAATGTAAAGTCAATATATATTTAGTAGGGAAACTTAGTGTTGCCATGACTAATATCGCATGAGGATTTATAGTAAAGATAACAAGTTTGGAGAAATTTTCTGAAACCATTGATACATACTCCTTGGACTAACCTGCCCTTATATGTAGCTTCATTGATCTGTATGTAGGCATGAATATTAACCAATGGATCGTGTTCTGTGCTAGGATCTCATGAACTGTTATGGAACGGTGGTAACTTCGTCAAACAGAACATGTAGCGTTTCAATCCAGCTACCATATAAACCAGCAGTCCCTACTTTGTCAGTTGAGCATATCAAATTCTTGGAATTCTATCCGGAAATTTATTCGTGTAGTGATACCACCGTAATATCACTAATTCGGAATGCTATTTAATTTAAGCACCATAAGAGGTTGTCCCAAATAAATGAAGACAAGGTCAAAGTTGGACACCTGCCACTAGACCTCAGAATGTTTGCCATTTTTTAAACAGAATATCATATATATACACATAAACAGGTTGCATTGCTTCCAGGGTCAGATCATTCTCCTACGTATAAGTTTTACTTATGAATGTCTCTAGATTTTCTACTCACCTGTTTTTTGAGGTCGAATGGAAAATATGGATTTAGAAACACAACACCCTTCCAGCCTTCACTAGAGAGAACACGACCCGGAACAACTGGTACTCCAGCAGATATGCTATTTAGTCTACCTTGATACCATCGAGCCGTTTATAAAGCGTTTAAACCTTGCTTTTGTATCTGTTTTTGCCAAATGCTTTGGAAATTCACTTATCTTCTTATATTTACCTTGAATAAGCCAACTGATAGTAGGGGATGCACTCAATGGACAGTTACGAAAATTTAATACTCGGTAAAACAGTCACACGAGTGTGGGTAATCTTCTGGTTTCCTGCTATTGTTTTGGGCTGTCTGTTTGTTTTGAATGAAAAACTAAAAGAGCCAAGACACTTCTCTGCACTCTCAAACTTGTGTAGCTTATGACTATGACATCTAATGTTGACCCCCTTCGTGTTACTCGGCTAATATTCATAGCTAACTGAGGAAGTGTGACTGCTCATGTAATTCCAAGTCTCAACCACATAACTGACATTTGTTAATTCCGGACTGCCGCAACGTGTTTAAGCTATCGTTGAGAGGAAAACTCCGTTCGACTGGTAAAGCGGTATAATTGCGATAACCATGGAATTTATACATAACAGAACCACTCGTTTGTTGCCTTCATCAATTAGGGGTTGACTTTCACTATCTATTAATCATATAACATACACCAACAACCCCTAAGTTAGCGACCTTCACATGGATGGGCCATTTCGACGCAGTGTTATCTCAATGACCTTAATGTCACTGTCGTATGACTAACTAGTATATTATGATGAGGCGCAACATTTCAAGCCATCCAAGGGTTTCTGCTTGGAGAAGATAAAAATGTTTCCCTACACTCACTAGTCCAACCGTCAAGAGCTTTACTGTCGAGCCCTGGCTTTAAACTACCTATACCTAAGAACTAACAAGAGTTATATGTATATCCAGCTTTTAAGGGACACATCTATAGTAGGATGAGATTATGTACCACGAGCCGTTAATCAGACCGTTATTTTTCAACAAGTGGATTTCTAATGGCGCAACATAGTCCTCTGAAGTATTTTTTACATAAGGCTCTCAAAAGGCTTGCCACTCTTCAGCACAGTAAGCAATACTTGAACTGTCTTGTTGATCGGACGACTACTAAATTCTCGTCAATTTCCTAGTTAAATCACTTTTGAGTTTTTATTTACAACTACTAGTGAGTCATTTTAAAGCACATTAATTCTATGAATGAGAAAATGTATCAGACTAATTGAATCACTATACTCATTGTCAGGAAATTCATCATTACCAGTGTTACTTTATGCATATTCTTCAAAGTGAGTGAAATCAAGCAATCCGACTGCTTGTGGAAATATTTGACTACCTGAACAGTGACTCACTAATTGAAAGCCAAGATTATTGGCTGCTGGATCATGTCACCAGGAAAATACAGAAGACAGGATATTAACTGATAACACAGATGAATGGATGTCTATCTTAGCTGTAAATATTCATCCCATTAAAAATTATATATATATATATATATATATATATATATATATATATATATATATATATATATATATAAGTTGACCACTGAACGCTGATCATTCAAGCACAAGTTATCCACATATGCAAATATAAGTAATACACGGAACAATACTGTTATATTGATAAATCATCAAACAACTGAATGAATATCCAACTGTTGTACAAATAACAATATCGTGTCTCTGATTGCAGTACGTGTACTTTCATCCATGCAGATAATATGACTACCATGATCATGCAAACAAATCAGTGTATTTGGATTTGGCTAAAAAGTAAAAAGACAGAATTAAGCACAGGACCTATAGTAATTGAAAGGTAATAGTATCATCATGTGATGTCAATATAACAAAAAGACAACCACCGACACCTAGACTACCCATATTACCATCCTTAAACCTCGTTGACAGTGAACGTTTATCGACAAAAGTAGTTCAACACGCTATACACATGTTATTTTTATTCTTTGATCTGAATTGATTTTCTAGAATATATATTCCACGTGCTTAATCTTCCATTGCACTTAGTAATATTTACAATTCTTTACTTCTCATTTGATTAATGTTTCATCTCAGTGTTAGTGTGAAGTGCCCCGCCATGAACTGATATGCAATCAAGTTGGGTTTTAGTTCAAAAATGAATTAGAGGGATTGAAACCCTTAATACAGACTGGGAATAATAATAAAGGTTTTCAATGACATTGGCATAGGTGAACGTGGCTTAACTTAGTCCGGTAGTGCAGTGTATATCCATCGTAATAAGCCAGCCAAAACTTGCTGACTAGTGAGTTTACCCCAGGTGTAGAATTCTAGAGTAACTGATGAAAGTAAAAAAATAACGAACTCTACAAAGTCCAGAAGTAGCACTAACTAAATACGATATTTTAAAAACAAAACAAGATTCACTCGAGGTAAACTGCTATGGTCTCAGTCATTTATTTCGACAACTAGCTGATAATTCATCTTTTTGAATAATAGCTTCCTTCCTATGCCATTTGGAGACCAAACAATTAAGATGGTCTTAATGTTTTTCAACAAAACCATTTTCTAGTCATATCTGTGTGCAAATAATAAAGTGCCACACTGAATATTCAGAAAGGCCACTATTCTCCGTTAAACAATCTTTAGAGAATATAAGTAAACAAAGATTCAACAACTTACAAATAGAATTACATTTTCGTTTTGTATAGGACCTGACTGCTTATTAGTATTATATACAGAAAATCGCGAATATACTTGGCGTGCAGTGCACGAATCAGCAAGATAGGCACCAGTAACACCACGTTCTGTTAACTTTCGTATCAACTCATGTGGGTTTATTCTGCTTGACTCATCG